CACACACACACACACACACACACACACACACACACACACACACACACACACACACACACACACACACACATCCCGTCATGTTATTGGAGTTGTTAAAGGCCACTTGTGGTGCCCACGCCTCCCCCCCAGGGTCGTCTTACGGACGGCAAGGGCAAGACCATCGAGTGTAAAGACGCAATCTTCATCATGACGTCCAACGTTGCGAGTGATGAAATTGCCCAGCATGGCCTGCAGCTGCGGCAGGAGGCGGAGGAGGTCACCCGCAGGAAGCTGGCAGATAATCTTGGTGAGAATATTTCATTTGAGATTGTCACACCATATGGGACGGCGCGAAGCACTGTTGCACCATCCACTGGTACTTCAACTTTCAAGTGCCCCATCTTAGGAATTTCCAGTGATAAGCTGTCACTTAGTTTTTTTGTCTTATTTTATTTTGGGAGTTTTGGTTTTGTGTCGTTATTTTTTTTACAAGCCAAAATTGGAGTTCCAGATGAAACTCAAGTTAATTGGGAAAAAAAAAATAATTTGTCAGGAGAGTCGCATTCACTGATGCACTTTCAGCCATTTGATTGAACCAGACATCCAATCAGACGTGGGCACGGCCCTTTGAAGGCACACCCCCATTAATTGGCCATTAATGACACTTTATCGTATTATCTTTGTCAAGACCGTACATTGGGTGCAGCTTTTGCATCGCACCTCATTTGTGCAAGTGGTCATAATGTTGTGACTGGTCAGTGTGTGTATTTCTATTGTGGATTTCCTCAGAGGATGTCCAGAAAGGTGATGACATCACCATTTCCAGACATTTTAAGGAGTCTGTCATTCGACCAATCCTCAAGGTAACTTTGCACTTTGACCTGAAAGTTCTACTTTGCTATCAGCTTTCAACTTAATTTTTGTGTTCCTGCTTAGGCTCATTTCCGGAGAGACGAGTTTCTCGGTCGGATCAATGAAATTGTCTACTTCCTGCCATTCTGTCACTCCGAGCTGCTCCAGCTGGTTGGCAAGGAGCTCAGCTTCTGGGCTAAGAAGGTACGTGGAGCAGCAAGTCAAGTCAGTTGACAACAAACACGTTGTTAAATAAAGATCTCTCCCACAGTGCCGATCAAAAATTAACATTTCTTTGTTAAGGAGGAAGAGCTCATACAAGACCTTTTTTTATCATCACATGACATTGTTCAAGTGGGCATCATTGTACGATTTATTTGCGTCTAAATGCGGTGTTCTGGGTTGTGTACATCGTCCTCGCCGAGTGAAGTGGTTAACACGTGTCGCTAAATGAGCAGCACCGATCATTACTGTTGATTAGCATTGGATAAAAACCCATTAGGGAAGTGTCGATTAGAGCTGGCAGAAATGCTGCTGGACGTCTTATCTTTTGCGTCTGCATTAGTCATTCCTGTCAGAATGTCTTTCCTTCGACGTTTGCGCGTCAACTGACCTTTCTTTCCGTTTGTGTGCGCCGTCCTTAGGCCAAGCAACGCCATGACATCACCCTTCAGTGGGATCGGCCCGTCCTGGACCTGTTGGCGGGCGGTTACAACGTGCATTACGGAGCACGCTCCATAAAGCACGAGGTGCGCAAGATATGGATAATATGTGTTGATAGGTACCAGAATGATCTGATCTGTGTGTGCGTGCGTGTACGTGTGCGTGTGCGTGTGTGTGTGTGTGTTAGGTGGAGCGGCGTGTGGTGAACCAGCTGGCGGCGGCCTACGAGCAGGAACTGCTGCCCAAAGGCTGCACGCTGCGCCTCTGCGTCCAGTCGGACGGCCGCGAGGAGCAGAGCGCCTCCAGCCTGCGCCTGGAGGTGGTCGGGGAGGACAGCTCGGCCAGGACGCTCGACATCCGCCCTCCGCTCAGTCCCGAACATTAAAACGGTTGTGAAGGTCTTGTAGTCACAAAAGTACCTCACATCACCGCCTCTTGTTTCGTTACACATGTACAGTCGTACCTTGACATACAAGTGCTTCAATTTAGGAGGTCAGGCTTTTTTTTTGCCTTTTGTCTACGCCACATCCTCTCGGACTGAGCCAAACCATATTGAATCGGAATCCTATTGAATTGTTCCACTTTAAAATAAACTGGTTGGTGGGTGTGAGTGGCCAGCTTTTTTTTTTTTTTTTTTGTGATGATGCCCCTCGCACGTGGGCAAGGAGAGCGACAGTGGCTGGCTTTAGCCATTTATTGGTCAGGAGACTCAAACAGCAAATAAAAAAAGGCCCACAGACGCTCACACTGAACTCTTAACTGGCCGTACGGCCTCCATTGTATGGTGTCACTCCCTAGGCTTCAATACTTCACGATGTACAATAATTACACTTTATAAAAACGAGTTAATTCCTTCAGGCCACGTTATATTTTAGATTTTAAACAATATGGTGCTATTTTTATTTACTAAAAACAAATGCAAATGTGGGGAGAGGTTCGATCAGATTAATGGCATTTCAATGAGGAACATTGATTTGATATTCGACTAAACTGAATTACGAGCTTGGTCAGGGAACAACTTGAACTCCTAAGTCAAGGTACCACTGTACTCGCAAATTAGAGGAGGAACCTCCGATCGTTTTAGAGCCCAGTTGTCTAGTAATGCTTCATTCATCGCCAACATCTCATTCGTGTGACGCATCAGATGACACATTAGCAGCTGTTAGACCACAGTGATGATTAAAATGTTTGTAACATATTGACAAGATTCGGTCTGTCACAAATGGGTGTTTATTTGCAGGCAGAGCCGCGGTTGTTAAAAAAAAAAAACTACTGAAGGATTATTATTTCAATTAGAGGATGAAGAGTGATCTGCTGTGGAGGATTGTTTTTCTCAACGAAAAAGATGGTTTAGCCGCCTGTTGTTCACTTTCACAAACGTCCACTCGAATCAAATCCGGTGACATTATTATATAAAGTGAATTGCTCCTGATGATGCATGCTAATTGCCAGGAGTTATGTCGACATGAGAGTAGAATATTCACAGAAATGAATGCATCGTGACTGTTTGATCAAGTCACGTGATGGAGCCACATTTGTCCCATTCCTGGGTGTGTGTGCGCACCAGCCTCCACGCTGGAAATAAAAGTCAGCACAACAAAAAGCAAATTCTTCCTGTTTTTGTTGTGTGTGCGTGTGTGTGTGTGTGTGTGTGTCCTTATTGACATCTCCTGATGGATGCGTGCGGGTGGGTGGGAGTCGTACGACAATAACGCTTGTCCACCTTGTGAGACGACATGACAGGAGAATTTCTTTGGAATTCTGGTGTGGAGAGAATGTTGCATACACTCAGCGGGAATGTCGTTTTCTGTGTAGGGAAGAATTAGCATGCAGAGGGGGTGAGAGAAAGACATTCATTGACTGACGAGACCCCCAACAACATAACATTGTGAAACTATCAACTCTTTCACGAGACAATGCGGTGATAGTTCGCCTCTCATGATTGATTTACAATTTACAACACCTTTTAATTTCATGTAAGAGGGCGAAGGTTTGGTAAAATAAAATAAATTGATTTAGTTCCTGGTTTAGTCAATCCTGTGTCAGAAAATGGGCAAAATGGTGCTCATTGTTTTCCAAAGTAACAAAACAAAGATAACATTTACATTTTTTTAAAATTAGAGATATAAGTACTTTCTGATTCCAAATCTGCCCCTTTTTTCTTGTAAAGCGCATCAGGTTTTCATAATATAATTTGAAATATAGTCACATATTTATGAATTAAGGTTTAGCATCAGCAACAGGTGGATCATTCTCTGAAAGGGCATAGCTATAAATTACGTGTGGTAGAATTGGTATTGCGCAAGCTTTTATAGGTCAGAGGGCAAACCTAAAAACAAAAAAATGAACATCTTAAAAACATGATTTGTTAGAAACAAAATAAAGACTTAAATTGGAAGCAAAAATACAATTAGGGACATATAAAGCCATCTGTGATTACAATTTGCTGTTGACCAGTGCAGTCATTCTGCTTCCATGAAGGTCTACAGAAATCGGAGAATATATACTACATACAAGTGGGCTGAATTTCTGAGAATTTAAGTTTAAAAACGGCTCTGAATGGTTAATGGATTATCAAAACAGCCATCTATCCATTATCTGAACTGCTCAATGCTCATGAAGGTCGCAGGTGTGCTGGAGCCTATCCAAACCATGTTTGGGCAATCGGCGGGGTACACCCTGAACTGGTTTCCAGCCAATCGCAGGGCACACATAGACGAACGACCATTCGCGCTCACAATCGCACCGAGGGACAATTTAGAGCGTCCAGTTAACCTCCTGTGCATGTTTTGGGAATGTGGGAGGAAACCGGAGTACCCGGAGAAAACCCACGCAGGCACGTCGAGAACATGCAAACTCCACACAGGAAGGCCGTCACCTGGAATCAAACCCTGCACCTCTGCACTATGAGGAGGACGTGTTTAACCAGTCAACCGCCATGATCAAAATCGCTGCCGATGAATTTGCTCATCGATGAGTTGTTGATTAATTGCACCTCTAAAATGCCCAAATGTTCATGGTCCAAGCGAGTTCTCATACCGAATGTTTTGGGCGTGTTGCCTAAATGCTTCCATGCATGACTATGATTGTAAATTGGCCTCAGTGAGACTAACGCTTTCCGAAATATGGCAAACACGGTAGTGCAAACGTGTAAGCAAGAGACATTTCTCATTGTCTTAAGTAGCTGCTAGATCAGGTTTTGCACTTCAGGTCCGAAGGTGCGCGCGTGTGCATCGAGGCAAGCCTCCCCGAGGATGAAGACAAGTCAAAGGGGGAGGAGAAGGAGCTCTTAGTGTCTTTGCCAGGCTATTTCTGACTGCTGCCATTTCTCTGATTAGATTACGGAGAAACAGAAACCGGGTTCTCCATCATGCCCATAAGCTCCCCCCACCAGACTCGCTCGTGTCCACCTTCTGCCGCCAGGACAAATGGGAGCGAGTTCAAGGTCCTGCAAACACACAAGATGATGGAGAAGTCAAGTTTTGTGTGTTTGGACTGTTCCCGATTCATCCAGGTTGTTGGGCGGAAGGGTACCGGTTGGTATCGAAAACAAAGAACATTTGATGACGGAAATTGAAATGAAGGTTGATAACGCACAGGAGCCAAGTGTTTGGCAGAGAAAAAACAACTTGGCAAAAATGTGAGCCATACACTGTTCACGACACTGCTGGTACAGTATTTCTATTACAGTATGCTGTGATGGATTAGCATAGCCTATACAACAACAACAACGTAGCCACTCACAACCCAATGAGAGTTTTATCTAATATTTGACTTGGTAAATAAGGTGGTCAAAATGTCAGGAACGGCAAATTACAACCACAGTACAGCTCTGGGTGCCACGGCAATGTAATTGCGAGTCACAACCAAAGAAGGAAAGTGCACCTTTAAAACTGCTGGGTAAAAATTAACCCAATTTTGGTTCAAATATTGGGTGGACTCTGTACTTGGGACAATTTGATCCAACTTTAGGTTATTTTATAGATCACAACAACCTCATCTTTGGGGTTTTATACATCCAAAATTAAAATTGTGGTTTTGGAAAGAACAACCCAGCAAATGGGTCAATTTGACCCCATTAACCTACAGGGTCTGCCCTTTTTTTTAAAATCAAAATTGAGTTAATTTTCACACTTGAAGAGCTTGAGCAGTCTTCTCTCATGTGGGTGCTGTTGTAAAATTATGACTTTTTAGGAACATTTCTCATATTTTGCCGTCACTCTCATCATTTTGAAAATCGTTTGTGTCACATTTCACCGATTGTTATAAAACAATTTCTTTCCCCTCAATGTTTCCCCAATACAGTGGAGTCCTCATACTTAAGGTTCGGCACCCACGGGTTTGCATATTTGCTGATTTGTTTTTATGCTCATTAATTTTGTCAATACTCCCCTCCCAATTTCCCCTAAATTCTGCCCCCCCACCCTCCACACACACACACACACACACACACACACACACACACACACACACACACACACACACACACACACACACAAATACGAAGACACGTAGCGGGTGTGTAGTAAGTGTGCGTGTGTGCATGTGCAAGTGGTGACTGAGTGATGCCTTTGTACGTTTGCACAATTATCGTGTGTGTCCCCGCTCTTAACGCAGAATTTGCAGGCGCGCCATTGAAGTCCTGAAAAGGGCGATCGATCAAGTGCACTCTTATCTCGGAACTAGCGCGAGCCTCGACTTGATGCGCGCCCATGTCCATCTTTTCTCAAGCGCCGGTTTATACTCTTCGGGGTCGCGGGTTAGATCACAAAGTCACCGAGTGCAAGTGAGCCCACGCACTCCGCCTGCCTGCAACCATGTTATCGGGCGAGTGGACCATATTGAGTCAAATGTCTTTGTTGCTGCGCAGGGTTGGGAAAGTGCGCGCGTCTGTCCACGCGCGCTCGCACTGGTTACCTTTGGGTGGTCACGTGACACGTCCCCTCTGGGAAAATTAGCATAAAAGGCAAATAAAGGAGAAGCCACCAGTCTGTCCGTCATTCTTTGAAAGGGGGGAGAGTAAAAAAAAAAAAAGGAACAAATCCATCGCGCCTAATTCGAACCTTGCTCAGGGACAGCTCGCGTGGCAGATTGCAGCCTAATTAGTTTAGCGGGACGTTTAATTCAATTAAGTTTCCACAGCTCGCCGAGGCCCCGCCGCTGGGCTGCTTTGAGAGCGAAAGGGGCCGGAGTTGCAGATCGAATTAGCCTGTTTGGAGAACGACTGCGTGCGCCTCCCCATTCTCATCATCCTTGCGCACGCACGCCCGTAAGCTCCAGCTGCGGCGCGCGTCCGCGTGCGTTCTCCGGGGATCTTTTTTTTTTAATCTTAAAAAGGTTCCTTTTTAAGTAATATGCCTCTCTGCATTAGCGTCATGAGCCCCGCATGTACGCCATCCGAGGCCTGCTGCAAGTACTTGGTGCTGGTTTATTTATTGACCATGTACATCAACACTTCCTTGTTCCCAGTCATAATTATTGTTATTATTATTATTATTATTATTATTATTATTATTATACATTTGTACATATTACATTACTACATTATACACGTGATGTGTGTATATCTATTTTTCTATATTTTCTATATTTATCTTTGCACGGACACATTATGAGTTATTTATTAACAAATTAATTCATTTTCCTTATCTGTGCATCAGTCCATCTAGCTAATTTAAAAAAACATATATTGTCCCATCAGGGTGCCATATATATATATATATATATATATATATATATATATATATATATATGGTGTGTGTGTATGTTTGTGTGTGTGTATATACACACGGTGTTATTATTATTATTATTGTTGCTATTGGCCTATTATTATAGGAGCGCCTGCCTCTGCATTTCTTTCGCTGTTCATTGACCTACCACATGAATTGGTACACTGACAAAAAAATCCTTTGGATCCTTTAGATTTACTTTATTCGACATGTTACATCAGTTGCACACGATGCGCTACAATTACGGCACTTTACCACTTTTAACCATGCTTTTAGTTTGGTCATATAAAATACATTGTAGTCATTTAATGCCTGTTTGGCAGAGTGTTGAGTTTTGAACGCCGCTGCACGGATAGATGGGGAGGATTGCTGAGGGTGCACATCAGCACTTGAACGCAAATGCTCGTCTCTAACTCGCTTAGACGCGCGTGTCGTCGTCTCCGTGCAAGCACGCAGAAAGCGTCACGGTGCATTGCGGTAATTGTGAGCAAGGGACACGGTGAAACTTGCGGGGGACTCCTCTTTCTCTTCCTCTGCCCTGACCCCCTCCCATTCATCAGCCGAGCCGTCAAACGGTGTACGAAGTGACGGGTACACTATCACATGGTGACGGCGCACTTTTGATTTGATTTTAGGCGCCGTTGAATCAATGAGGGCCGATGACACATGATGCAGCTTGTAAGCAGCTGCACAAAATGGATCAGCATCGACGCGCACTGCTGTTTGCCCCCTCCTTTCACGTCGGCATGGACTCCTCGTTTTACGACGGAGTTCCGTTCCTATGGTGGCGACGTGACGTCACCTAGAACGCGCCGTCGTCCATCATTATGAACATCGTAAAAACTTCCGTGACTTCACTGTGATCATAACTACTTTAAATATTTGGATGAAAAACACTTGTAGACTATAAATATAAAACAATCAAACGTAATGACATATTGCTCTTTAATTGAGATTATCATACTTATTTATGAGTTACTGTCTCGTTGTGTCAGCGATCGTAAACGGTGTATCAAAAGGAATTTAATTTTAACATTTATGTTTTAAATCCAAACATTTTAATTCAACTACTGAATAATAATAATAATAATCCATAGGCCCACGAAGCGATTGCACATGCGCGGCTGCCCCAAAATCTTTGCAAACTCAGTTTTGATCGACACTGTCGGTGACGTATGATTCCTGACAGCTACGTCACAAAACTGCAGTCGTTTGTAAAATTTGGACTCTCATTTATCGAATTAAGGAAATGCTGAGGTCACAATACGATGAAGCGCAATTCTACTGCAACCCTTCAAAAAAATCAACATACATACCGGATTGTTATAAACCATATTATGTCGGTGAATGCAGACTTTCTAAAAGATAGCGGTGATAGTTCCAGTGTCCCTAATTAAGTGCCCAATGAAAACCTGCGCGAAGCAGATGAATATGGCACGCTCATGCAGTTATCGCCTTAATTTTCTTTTATTTCGAACGTTTAATATTTATAGGCCACACACATTAAAAATGTAAGAGACACCGGCGCTTTCCGATTTACGTATACAATTCGTCACTTTCACATATAATCCGTCGAAACAGCGGACCCAATTTGATTACCATATATCAGCCGCTAAAAAGTAATCGTGTCAAGCAACTACCTCTCGTTTGATTGCTATTGCGCCTGTGGAAGCACATGGACCTGAAATGGCATCTTCCGTCAATCAAGTGGAGGCGGAAAAAAGCTTCCATAAATGCGACGGCGACGACTACGACGATGATGATGATGATGATGATGATGATGATGATGATGATGATATGTTGTTCTTTGAGTTTGGGTGACGGATGGAGCTGTATTGGCCTGATGAGTGACAGCTTCACTCCGCCGAGCAGAACGCACACAACACGGGTGCTGACCTCCCGCAAGGCTCCTTTTATTCCATACGGGCCATCTTTTACTCGTCCCTTCTTGTCTCTATCAGGTCGCACACATCGATCACGCACACGCGCACGCAAGTGGAAATGCGGTCATATGCCTGGTGCAAGAATATACGATACCCATTTTGTGGTCTAATTACACCATACAGTCAAACTAAAAAGCAATAAAATGGGATCGTAGAGGAGGACTGCATAACATGTGAAGGCGATCCATCCCCCCCCCCTCCGCCCCCCTATCCCACCGGCCCTATAATTCCTGTATATTCCTGTCGGCTCCCTCACTAGGGGCCCATTGTGAACCCACCGCCCCCCCGACGTGTTGACTCAGACGTCATGAATTAAAAAGATCCACGTTACTGTTTCCGTCAAACGGGCCCATGAATCTTAAAGTCCAAAGTGAAAACCTCCGCGGAGGAGAGCTCTCCCCCTGCGCTAAAGTGGAGAAGCAAAGGGGCGGATTAGTGGGCCTGGAAGAGACCCTCCATGCTTTGAAGGGATTAAATGGAGTTTGAGGGAGGGGGGTGGGGGGCTTCGCTACTGTTTTTTTGTGGGGAACCATGCAGCAGTTTAACTTGGAAACTGTTTTTAATTTCTCGGTAAACTCACCCTTGAACCCATGACGCGGCCTACTGGTGCCTAAAACCGCTCCGATGACTCCATACTATCGTTATGTATCTTTCCAAAATCGGCAGAAATAAGTTCAGAACCCCTCATTGATATTTGTGGAAATTGCGAAATGTTTAAATGTGATTGTTACAAACACGTTTTGAGCCCATTGATTCATTTTGGTGTGACGCGAACTTCATCGTTCACTGCGGTGAATCTCGCACATGTGAGACGATTAAGCAATCATAGGTGACAATAAAAATCAATTATTTAAATCAGCACCATATTAGTCTTCTTCCGAAATAATACAATTGTGTTGCGTTTTAGGAGTGTCAGTTGTTTCAAACAACCCCCGCCCATATATTAACAAAAAAGAAGAAAAACAAGCAAGTACACTAAAATATAAAAAAGATCAAATAGTAATAGTACTCAAGTGCAGAAATGATATGAATAATATGTCTTTTCACGTCGGCAGCACAATTGCACGAATGCACAATATAATACATTCTAACTTTAAAAAGTATATATTGAAAAAGAAAATGACCGTGAGCGCAAAAAAGTTGCCATCATTTCACACGTTCTCATCAATAAATAATATGGAGTAATTCCTAAATTAGAAATTCAGTGTGTTTAAAAAAAAAATTACACTTATAGTGACTCTTCATTTTCGCTACTTGCAGGTGTATGTGGGGGCGGGGGGAGGGGCGGGGAGGGGTTGACCGGCGTGGGATATGACTTATCACATTTTATGACATCGAATAATAAACTTAAACCAATTTATGGGGCGTCTCTGTGTTTACGATGACTACTCGCTTGTCTCCGCGGCCTCTGACTCTCTCTCTCTCTCTCTCTCTGTCAGTCCATCCATCAAAGTGACGTGCAATCTCATGACGCGTGCGTAAAAGTGATCGGAATCAAATCAAAGCTTTTAATCTGCGCAATCACCGTCACTTGTGGATGTTTCTCGCCACGTAAAGATCCCCCCGATGCACCCCACGCGATGCTTTGAGCTGTGGCCGAGGTGCGCGCCAAAGAAAGAAGTCGAATAAATATATGTTCGAGTTATGTTTTGCTGACAAGGCAAATTCAGAAACAGACAGCAACGCCAACGACCACTTGCAATCCAATGCTAGCGTTCCATCAAATATTCTGCCTTTCCAATGACGATGAGCGTTCAATTTTGATCGACACCGTCAGAGGCTGTACAAAATGCTCAAGTGGGCTGTAATATTCCGCCTCTACAGAAGATACGAATGTCCAGGTTTGACTGATACTAGTAAAGTTATTATTCTAACAATGTGTTGTTGCAGTTTGCATTCTTGCAATATACCGCACAGCAGTCTCTAATATTTTGGTTGGCTCATTTGCTACATCGGTGTAAATTCCAACAGCAGTAATAAACCATGTTGAATAAATACCTCTAACCGTATCAATTGAAACTCAACGTGCTTTAAGCGTAATATTTTTCATACAACATAGCATCTCATTAAATTCTGTATAGGTGCTCATGTTTTTCTGCACTGGTCAGTTATAGTAAAAATAAAAATGTTGACTAGAGCTCGACGTGAAATGCTTTCACACTAATAGGGTGATAATATCATATTCAAAGAACAAAATAGGCGATGCTGAGACAGCAATTAAGAGCTGTCCGACAATGGGCGCAAAGCAAAATCCACTGGATTTGGATGGAGCTGCAGCTGCCTTGCGCCGTTCCCGGGAACCCGTGGGCGGGGCAATCATTGTCATGGAAACAAGACCTCCGCCTAGCCATTGTGCGCAGCTCTCCCAACTTTATTATAAGCAGGCAGCGAGCCGCGGCGCTGTCAAACTCGGCGACGGGCAGCAAGTAGCGGGAGAACACGCGAAACAGGGCGACGGGATTATTCTTCCAAAACGCACTATTTCCTGCCAACTTTTGGGAGACCTTGTTCGCGGATACCGGAGCCAGAGCGACCCCCCGCACCCCCACGGCAAAAAGCAAGTGGCTCCATCCGTGACTCCCAGCGCCCCGGTGCCGCCACCGGCAGAGCTCCATGTATAAAATGGATTACTCCTACCTGAACTCCTACGACTCGTGCATGGCCGCCATGGAAGCGTCGGCCTACGCGGACTTCAGCTCGTGCAGCCAGGCCAGCTCGTTCCAGTACAACCCCATCCGCAGCGGACCCTTCTCCAACCCGGCCTGCACCCCGCTCAGCACGGCCAGCTGCACCCTGGGAGCCCTCAGAGACCACCAGCCCACGCCGTACTCGTCAGGTACACGCCGAAAAATGACCTTGGTCATAGTCGTGCGTGTCTGCGTGCGTAGGGAGAAAAGGAAATTACTTAAATACATTTGAGGCCTGCGGAGATTCTATTTGTTTGGACATTACATTAAAATAAGACTAACTCATGTAAACGTACAGTAACAGTAATAATAATAATAATAATGCGACTGTTTAATTTCATGTTTTGCACAGGAACGAAAATAAAAACTCAAAATTAAAAGTAAACTAATTTGATAACCTCAAATTAATTACAGGCCGCAAATTACAGGCCTTCACTTGGTTTCAGGAGTCATTGTTTATATATATATATATATATATATATATATGTATACACACACATACACACACACATACACACACAAACACTTTTATCATTGTGGCATTGGTGGAATTAAAATAAATCTGATATATACTTTTTGAGAGTAGCACAAAAAACTATTTAACACTAATTTCATACTATACATAAAAATACACATGAATATGTAAATATAATATAGATAACATAATTTGCATGTATACAAAACTAATATCACAAACCTGTAATCATCTCATGTCATGAACAAAAAATGGATTTGTGCAGATTTTCATTTGAAAGTTAGGTGTCATTTTTTTTTTCGTGAAAGTATGAAATCTCTTGATGACTCTGAATAACACATCTGACACCCCACCCCATCCCCCCTCTCTCACAGTCCCATACAAGTTCTTCTCAGACCCTTCGGGCCTGAATGAGAAACGGAAGCAGAGGCGCATTCGGACCACTTTCACCAGTTCCCAGCTGAAGGAGCTGGAGAGGGTTTTTGCCGAGACACACTACCCGGACATTTACACCCGAGAGGAGCTGGCTCTGAAGATTGATCTGACAGAAGCCAGAGTACAGGTGAGAGGAGCAGTGGTCTTTTAAGGTGTGGTGGGTCACATTTGAACTCCATCTAAAGCAGCACCACTGGTGTGTGTGTGTGTGTGTGTCATGTGTGTGTGTGTCCCAGGTGTGGTTTCAGAACAGGCGTGCAAAGTTCCGCAAGCAGGAGCGGGCCGCAAACGCAAAAGCCAACAGCTCCGGGGCGGGCAACACGAGCAGCTCCGGAGGGAAGAAAGGCGGTGAGACCAGATCGTCATCGGACGACGACGAGTCCAAAGAATCCACCTGCAGCCCCACACCCGATAGCACGGCCTCGCTGCCGGGCTCGGCAAACGGGAACCTGGGTAGCCCCTCCAGCCTGAGCCCCAGCCCGGCTCCGGCTAACGGAGGATACATCAACGCCTCCGCCTCTCCGGTTTTGCAGGGGCTCAAGGCGGCCACCTGGTCTGGCCTGGGGCCGTCCAACCCGGCCGTGGCCCAGCCCGCTGCCCAGACTCAGGAGATTCTGAAGGCCTGGCAGCCGGCGGACAGTATGACGGGGCCTTTTGCCGGAGTCCTGTCCTCCTTTCACAGAAAACCCAATGCCACCATCAAGACGAACCTGTTCTGAAGCACAGACAGTGGACCGATCGAGACATGTGTTCTTCCCCAACAGCCAGGACACGAACGACCGCTAATCTGACTCAAACCTCATCACTCACCTCAAAATATGCATTTCATTGTGTACACTCGAAGAACACTCGGTTTTGCCTTTCGACACATACACATGCAAGCATCAGAGCTCATGAGCATGGTGGTCAGGTACGAGTCCTAAGCAGAAGGCCAAACATTGAGCAACTTCCACACAACACACAGCTCCAGCACAAGGAAGAGGGGCCCCCTAAATCCAATTAGAAAGACCCTCGGTTCATTCCTTCCTCCCTCCTTACTGTAACAAGTCCAGGCTGTGACCTCCCTCTGTGACCCCTGGTGCTTTCAGGCCCATCATGCCTTGCCTCACCAAACACTAGCCACTTTGTTCACAAAGCAGAAAGGAGAACAACTTGAGGCCACTTTGCATCGGCCGCAGGTTCCTGCCTAAGCTCGTCTTTCTAGTACTTATTACAGACCTGCTGGGCTTTTACTCATTTGGGACTTTCGGGATGATTCTGCAGCTCTCTTGGAGGGAAGTGTCACATGTTCTTGCTCACTTCCAGCCAATGGGTCCATTTTTGCTTTTTTTGAAAAGTGTCAAATCAGGGGATGGCAATATAACGTGACGGATGAGGGTTCTATTGTTTCCATTAGACATAGTGTCCACTCCAAAATAAAACAAAACAAAAAAAAAAAAAAAAAAAAAAAAAAAAAAAAGGAAAAAAAACTGTTTACCTCCGATGGCTTCATTTCTTTGTACTTGGTTGCAATCCCCTTCAGCTACTGAAAAAAATGTATTTATTAATTTTTTTTAAATGTGTCATTAAGGAACTTGAATTTCGTGGAAATTCCTCATAAGTTTTTTTGTGAGTGTAAATCCTGTAATTAGTAATATAAAATATTAGGAATATAGAAGTGGGTATTTTTTTTCCTGACATTGCTTTCCAGATTGATTTCAATGCAAGGCATCTGTCTCATAGAAATTCCAGTGAATGAGACATTATAGCACTATTGATTATTCTAATAAATCACATTATGGAATCACGACACCGTGTTCAATGACGTTTTCTTTTGTGTGTGCAAGTGAGGGACGCAAAGGATCTTCAATGCCCAAAACGTGCGTAAATTATCACGTCTCATCCGCAGCATCTCTTCTGCTTTTCTGATTATACACAAGAAGAAAGTGAATAAACATGTTACGTTTTAATTGGGAAAAAACATGATGCAGCTATGAAATTTTCATTAATTTAATATAACCAACCATTAAGCAAAACATCTAAGCAAGACATGATGCAAAAACACGCGCGCGCACACACACACGCCCGCCCGCACAAACGGCACGTAAAGTGAAACGTGATGAACGAGTTTTTAAACAAGAATGTGTATTGGGGAAAATCTGTACATATAACAGTACATGAAACTCATCTGGTCACACAACATAACATTTGAAAAATTCTTACGGGTTATATAGCAAGAGCTTAATTCAGAGCGGTGTGTGATTTTTTTTTAAGCAGCTCAGCCCGCTTTCTGACACCCGCCTCTTTTTAAAACACAATAGCTTTTAGAACAGGAAATAGTTCAAGAAGTAATAAAATGAACCTGGCCAGGTAACATAACTCACATTAGTTGTATTTTCTTTCAAGGCTGACAGAATACTGCGAAGCGTTCAAAACACAAAAGATGGTGTCGCCAGGTGCCCAGTCACGAGCTGTTTGGAAATAAACGGTGTAGCAGCACTATCTAGTGGTCATATCACTAATGTCACATAACCCAAAAAAATTCTTTCCACTTACTTTTTTTCACGTGACCTCTTCTACGCGTGCAAATGACGTCATGCTCCTTACCAACTATAAAATACCCCTTTGGAAAAAGCATTCTGAGACGAGTGGTTCCTGCAACACAATACTATAGTGTATTAGATTTTTTTTGAACATGTTAGTTAACTCACTTGGTTTTCGAAAGCAATTAAAACAAACAAAAGCTCAATTTCACATTAAAATGTGATATTACGGCCGTGAAACTTGGGTTGCATTGGCACAGTAACATCGAGTGTGGACTTGAGAAATGGAAACTCAAACAATAGCCCGGCGTTGTCCATTTCCAGGCATTTGGGTGCATGGTGACTGAGCACTGAAACGTCGCCAGCAAGCTGGAATACCAAGATCAAGTGTGTATCTCAAACCACTGCTGATGTTGTGCGCACTCATAGCTCATTCACTACGGATTTGCACCATTTTCCCTTTACCCTGACAAAAAGAAACCAAATTATAAATACACTGAAACACTGAAACTTAAGTCCAAAGTGAAAAGGAGTGAGTTCAGTCCACGTGATCGAGGTCCTTTCTGCAACATCCTAATGCAGCTGCCGCTTTCAGTTTGTTTCTATGTGGCTCGACATTTACCCAAACTGGGCTGGCTTCCTTCCACATAACTTCCAGGCAGCGACCACTCACGGGGAAATACCTGAGACTTGGCCCACGCTGTCATCACGAGTCGTGAAGGACATCCATGGCTTGAAATGTCAAGACGCTGGCACAGAAGGCCTCCATTTTCTTTCTCCTGTTGACGTTGCTTGCGTCAGAGGTTAGAACACATGTCAAAAAAAAAATCCTCTCCAGTATCATGTGATTTGTTTCTCATGACAATATGGTTTCATTCAGTATTACTGCGGCATCCGATGACCCTTAAATAAGGCCGCGTCCACATCAACCAGTTGAAGGATGCTTGAAAGAGGATGCTGTCAGCAAGTCCAAAGTAAAAAGGGAAGTGCACGCGCTCTCAGAAGGCACATTGGACGTCAAATGGCACATTCCCTTTCAGTTCTGCTGACATTTGGCCTTGTGGGAAGTAGGCGTGCTGTCTGAGTGCTTTGGAAATCATCAGGCCCCTTTTCTACAGTTTCTGCTGCTGCCGGAGGCTCTCCAGCAGAATGCACTTGTGGGAGGGATCAAGTACTCCTGCCTCCTCCAGGTCTTCCTCTGTGATGTCGCTGCCAGATAAACAAATAGCAGGAGATTAGACTGGATCAAACAAAGATTAATGTTCCATCCAATCGATGTTCAATGAACGATCATGGTCGAGGTGGGTCCTATCCCAGCTGATTGGGGGCTAAAGGTAGTTTAACCTGAACTGATTGCCAACTCGAAAATATTGATACTATTAAAAATAGTTCTGACCTAAACGTTGAGCTGAGCATCAAAATCTGACCTTCATCCATCCGTCCAATATCATGCACCTCTAAATCACTTCCTACCCCTTGTGTACGACAGTGAATAAACATCCATGTACCTGAAGGGTAGATAGAGTAAAAGCATGTACCTGAGAAATTCCAGGTCATCCCAGCCGTTGTGCAGGAGGCCCTGCTCATACCTCTCAAGTCCCAATCTCTGCAGCCACTCCCCTACTGAAGAGTCCCCCACGGACAAAGACGAGCTGCTGCTCCCCCAAAGTGCCTGAAAGAGGAAAAAGGTTTAATTTGATTCAAAGTAAAATAAAAGCTTATCATTTCCACTTCAGGAATGCTGCTGAAGCGGCTGCTCACCATTAGCGCTGGAGCTGCCGCTCAACACTGGCAACAGGCGCCATGCAATATAAGGTCAGCATAATTAAGTATATTAAGATAATTAGCGATTGATCATTATTTCAAGATGATGTTGTGTTGTTGGCGGCTTGGTGCAACAATTTGTGACAGGACTCTAATGACCCAAACACAGTCTGGAAGACAAGTCAATGATTGAGTTATTTTTATGTCACAGATTTCATTTATTGCTTACGCAGTATGGAACGTAACCCTGGCAAGTGAGGAGGGATTATTGTATTTTGATTATGTCACGCTCGATTGATGGGCTACATCCAATCTGTCGGTTTACGCTGCAGTTGCATTGGCAGATATCCAGTACATGGTGAAATCAACATTTGGCCTTGTTCTGAATTGAGAACATCCAATTTCATGCATATTTGATTTCTCTTTATGCCGACATGACCCATCTGGAAATTGCGAGCGATACATTGGAATTGTGTCAATTGACTCATGCAGTTTGAATCCAGCCTGAGTGAGGACAATAGGAGTCACAAAATCCCTTATACAGTATGTTAATTCAGCATTAAGTTTCTCACCTCTTCGGGAAGATCTTCAGCAATACTTTCTGTGATGGCATTTCTGGGTGGGAAGGTGCGGCAGGAGTCCAGACCTAAACCCATGGCCTGCCCCCGAAGGGGAGGCGGTGCAGAGGGAGCCCGTGGAGGCTGCCCCGGAAACTCAGTCTCACTCAGTGTCTTTGCCATCTGCAGCACAGAACAAGACTGGTCGTCCAACGCCCCGCTACCGATGCCCCCACCCCCAACAGCGCCACCTCCTCGCCTGAAGCTTTCCCCGAGGGTCAGTGGAGCACCAGGACCGACCACAGGGATCTTGACCTCAGCGAGATCCGGGTGAAGTGAGCGGGGCTTCAGGAAGGGCGTCTCCACAGCCATCTCCATGGCTCCCTTTGGGAGAGGAGGGGGTGGGAAATCCGGAGGGGGGCGATTAAGTGTGCTCCCCATAGGGGCTCCGACTTGTGCTCCTCCTACACAAACGCCTCCATCATCCTCTGAGGAGCTCTCCTCACTGATGGCACGCACCGTGTGACCTGTCATGGGTCTGCGTGGATGAGACGGGCCTGCGGGGGCACATGGGGGTTTGGTCCGAGCTACAGCGATGGGAGGGGGGCCTTTCATTGCCTGGGGGGTGGTGGAGTTGGCGGACGGGAGAAGCTCAGATGACATGGCAGCGGCTGATTGATTGGGAACCCCTTCCAAAATGTAGTAGGCGGGATTATTGTAGCTGTTCTTGCTGACAGACTGATCAACATCAGATGAATCTTGCTTGGGCCTGAATACATCAAAGAAGAGAAGAGCTGGTTGAGACACGCACGCACGCACGCACGCACGCACGCACACACACACACACACACACACACACGCACAGTATATAGATGTATACATATATATCTATATATACATCTCTCTCTCTCTAATGAAATATAATGCCGTGGTTTGATTAGTGGTGGCATAAAACATATTCTTGCAAATAAATAAATAAATAAAAATAAACAATGTGGGGCTTTTCCCCCTTTAAATTACCATTAAAATGTTATTTAAGTATTATAAAGGGCTTAGGATGATAAAGTTTTCCCCTGGACCGGATTAAATTAATACTTGATGAAATGAGGTTTCTTGTCGATCTCAAAGGTTCCACTGCACTTGTGCTTAATGTGCACGTACCTTGTAGCGGTTTCCACCTTGTTGCTCTTCTCGCCCTCTTCATTGACCTTCCCCAGCTCTCCGAGCTGTTTACGAACCATAGGTTGCCTGCAGAACAGTATTGAGTTATGAGACAAAATGTTAATAAATGTGGGAGCTGTTCAAGATCCATTCCAAACTACAGAGAGTTAGGAGAAAATAAAAATACACAAAAATCCCAATTAAAAACATTATTTCCCTAAATCAAACATAGTCTACAAGACAAACCATCAGAATGTGTCATATTTGTCACATAACAGTGAATGAAGCAGTGAGGCTCCCCCACCTCAATACAAACTCATTACTTGAGAAATATAATAACACAAAAACATTTGTCGCTACATATTATGCAGTATATGTGAAGTAACAAGTATGTGTAATATGTGTACTAACTTCACATATTCGTGCCCCACTCTTGATGATGTCGTCGATTTCCCTTTGGGTACGCCTGTTTCATCTTTGTCCACACTGATCCACTCTGAAATCAAATGAGATTGAAATTTCAACTTGGGCATTTCTGTATATTTGACAGCACCAACCAAAAGTTGGCTGTACCTGAATGAGAAAGTGTGTCTGAACTTTCACCTTGTACAGCTTGCATTTTAAGAGTCTTACCATAGAGTCTTTCCCTGGTTCCCATTCTTTCAGAAGGGACTCTGACCCTCATTGACCCTCTGATGTTTCCCGTTTCCTCGCCACGATGAGACAGGTAGGTGTGGAACTGCTGGGCTGTGCTGCCAATCATTGACTTCAGTGCCAACACACACTCTCCTGGGGGTGACACAAACAAAGGCCAATTGTCGCACTGAAAGTCCAGGTCAAACCACACAAGCAAAAGAAACAAGTAACTATTGCTTCAGCCCAAACAGAGACACTGCGCTTATACCGTAAGATTCATATCCATCCAGGGATTTCACAGTGAGCAGCAGGTGTTGGTCCTGAAGGTATTCGATCTCCGACAGGAGAGGTTTCAGCGTCGTCAGCTGCTTGTTGGACCAGCCCACGCGGAGGAAGTTGACATTATCGCTACTCTGACTGTCGTTTTCATAGCTCTTCTTGAATTCTGCATAGGAGAGACAGTAAGAGAAACGCACGGCAGAAGGGGTTGGGAGAGGCGACAAAGGGAAGGGAGAGGGGGGGAGAAAAGTTGGGTGAAGTTTCTGTGGACTCTTATTCAAAAGTGCGACGGGAGCGGACAGGCGGAGGTGGGAACAACATGGGACAAAATGGATGCTAGCTGTAAAGGTATACTGACTGCCTGGAATTGGGGAAGGAGGTATAGAGACATGAAAAAGAAGAAAGAGATGAAGTTCTATTATGGCCACTAAGTGATACAGGAGATCTACAATGCTTGTGGCTGGTGGAGTTCACTCAGTTGTCAGGAGATGATTATTAGTTGACAAAAGATTGCTTTGTCTCACCTTCCAAACATGTGGAGTAGAATTCAATGAAGAACTTGGTTCTGCTTGCAGTCTTCACTATGGCCTCGATGCTCTCAAATTCAATGTAAGCCTGCTCGGAAGATTTCGGCAGCCCTAGACCAAAACATCCAGAATGAGGTACTTGTTTGGTTGTGAGTGGAAAATTATGTTTTTCTTACTTTGTTTAGCTCTGTTTGGATGATTGGTTAAGTGGTTTATGTCATAGTCTACCCTTTCATTTTCAAAACCACTTACAGGACACAAGAATGGCTCCCTTGTCATCAACACACCAAAGGTAAAAATAAGCATTTTAACCCTTTCAGGGACAGCAGTTATTACAGTGGACATTATCATGTTATCAGGTTACAGGGCGCAAGAAAGGGTTCAATTCAATTCATTCATTTTGACAGATAAGATGTGGACTACGTAGAGTAATAGTGATGTAGGACCGTTTACAAGTTGATAATAATAATCGTGATGTTTCCTCCAGTTATACCTTTCTTGGAGACAAACTGTGAGGTCACGCCGACCTCAAATGTACCAAACACTGGTGAGTGGTCACTAGTCACAATATCATCGGTGCACCCTAAGAAGAGTATATAATTAAAAAGGCATTGTCAAGTGGATTTTAAAAGAAAGTTGAAGAGCTTTGTAACAAACTGGAAATACTATCATGAGATACTGTGAACTGTCTTACCATAGGAATTGCAAACAATGTGCGTTTCTGGGTAAGACTTCCACAAGATCCTGTCACACCAGGACGGAACATTCGTCCTCATCTGGGCCAAAGAGCAAACCACAACATCATTAGAGTAACGTAAAATGAAAACCACAACTGAATAACAGTTGCCACAAATATTCAGGGGACATTTTATCTATGAATTTGTAAACACACCCCAGTGGCTTTCTGCTTCTGCCAAACATACGTGTCCCTCGAGCCACGCTCATATCGGTAGGTGGGTGGGAATGAGATTTCTTCCTCTGCTGCAAGACAGATGACAGAATATATTTAAGACTTGCAGAATGTGGTAAAACCACTGCAAGTTACCAAAAACAAGTTAAAGCGGAGGCGACTTTAATGATCTAACCCTTATTTTGTTTTAATTAAATGTAGGGGGAAAAAGATAATATACACACTGGTGCAAGGATAAGGATAATCTTTGAATCGGATGAAGGGAAGATCAACTGTCTTTAAGGCACATGTAACGAGCAAAGGTATATTATCAAGTCCGACTTTTGAGTCCAGTTGTAACCATGTTGCTAAATATGACTGTTTGGAAGAATCTGAATAAAGTAGAAAAAAGAGTATCCATGTTCTAAAATTCCATAACACTATTTGGTTTTCATTACATTACAAATTAACCTCACGGTGGCTGAATATGTTTGCATATACTCCCTGAGCTTGTGTGATGTGGCTTCCTTCCGCCTTCCAAACACATACATGACATGTTCATTGAAGACACAAAAATTGCCAGTCGGTGTGAATGTCAATTGTTGCTTGGTTATATGGGCCCTGCGATTGGCTGGCAACCAGTTAAGGAACTACGATGGACTCCAGCTCACTTGAGACCGAAGTGAGGAAAAGCAGTAAAGAAGATGGATGGATGAACTTTAACATTTGTGCAATATTTATTTATTTTATTTTATTTATGTATTTTTTGGGGGGGTGGGTGGTCCCATGCAGATATGATGGTGCAAAGGTGGTGTGTGTTGGAAAGTTGGAAACGGAGTTACACCAACCAAAGCGTAAAAACACTTTGTTCTTCTCCCTCTCCAGATTTAGCTGGTCCACTTTAAGCAATGGATCAAACTCCTTTCTGTTAATGTAGTTCAGGATCTCCTGCAAACACAGGAACACTAACAATTAATAAATAAGTTTACAGTTACTCGGCACAAGTGTGGGTCTTTCTGGATCCTGCTTTTACCTGTATGTCCATGTCCAGCCTGTAGTTGAGGTCTCCCAGCCAGAAGAGATGTGTGAAGCGCAGTGAAATGTCAAAGGAGCTCAGCTGTTTGTCTCCAAGTGAAAGCAGGCGCAAAATGTCAAGGTAGTTTTGGTTCCTCCTGCAGGGGTCATTAGAACATTAGGAAATGCATTTAAAGTAGTCTCCATAAAAGAAAAATATGGACTCCGGAAATAAAAGGTGTGCGACTGTGTACAGTTTAGCTGATAGAATTGAGGAAACACTTAATTAAGCGTGGGATGGTACCTTGCAATCTTTTCATTCCCTGAAGTCAAGTGACAGTTCACAAAACCAAAAGATGTTCCGTTGAACATAAAAGAAACACCCACGGCACCTTTGTTACCTGGGAAAGCATAGACCAAATATTATAAAATACATTATATATGTTATATATGATATTATTAAAAAAAAGTTTTGACACTGATCAATTAAACCAACCAGAGAAAACTGAATTTCAACAGAATGTTTCTTTAGCACATTTAAAAGAGAATCAAATATAAAAATAAAACTTACAATGAAATCTCCTTTTCGGATAAATTTACACATATTGTACACTACAAAATTGCAAATACATTTAAGATTTTAAAAAATGTGCATAGGTTTGCATGGAGTAGTTTTGTACCTCAACTATGAAGTTAGAAGACTACATTAAATAATATTTGTTTTGATCTTTAAAGAAAGTAAATACAAGAAATAAAGGGAATACTGCAACATCCAATGATGTCCAAAATTGCCTTGTCAAGTCGTGCCATTGCTCACATTTTAGACTACAACCAGTGTGAAATGCAATAAAAACAGTCCTCTCTTTGCCCACGGTCAGGCTGGATACCGGTAGTCCCCTGGTCCCTGTTACCTTGAACAGGAACACCAATGTAGAAATTTGGATGGATTAGTGAAGTTACCAAGTGTATTGGCGATGCCAGTCTTGACACTTGACATTCCAACATGGCTGATGCGATTCTCATGTTCTGGCTTCACCAGCACAGCGAGCTTTATATTCCACAGCGTCTGTAACGCTATCTAAAAACAAGTAAAACAAAGGGTAATGAGGAAACAAAGTGCATGCATGTTTATTTTAAAAAAATAATAAAATAAATAAACATTATAACACGCAAATAGCTTTATATTCCACAGTGTCTGTAACGCTATCTAAAAACAAGTAAAACAAAGGGTAATAAGGAAACTGAAAGTGCATGCTTGTTTATTTTAAAAAATAAATAAATAAATAAATAAATAAACATTATAACACACAAATGTGGTTAGCATCCCACTGTCAAAAGGTTCCATATTCAAATATCATCTTGGGCTTTTCTGTGTGGCGTTTGCATGTTCTCCCTCTTCTAATGTGGGATTTCTTCAGGTGCTTCCCCCCCCCTCCACATTCCAAAAATATGCTTGTGCAGCTAACTGAGGAGTTATCCATGTGTGAATGAGAGTGGAAATGGTTGCTTGTGCCCTGTAACTGAATGGCTAACAATCCACTCTTCTAATGTGGGATTTCTTCAGGTGCTTCCCCCCCTCCACATTCCAAAAATATGCTTGTGCGGCTAACTGAGGAGTTATCCATGTGTGAATGTGAGTGTGAATGGTTGTTGGTGCCCTGTAACTGAATGGCTAACAATCCACGAGAAAATGGAAGGATGATGACAACAATCTTTCCTCACCGGTTTATAATCCAGTTCTGTTTGTTCTTTCAACATGGCCCGTAACGACTCCACCCACTCTCGATCGCACACAGAGTTTTCTTGCGTGCCAAATGCATACAGGTCATGCGGAATAGTGACGGTCATCTCGTCCAGAGTCTTTCCGAGTCCTCGGCACAACACCCATGAGGCAACTGATTTGGGAGCAGGAACGGAACCTGACAACAAATAGTGGATTAGTAATTAAATATTTGAAGATCATGGAGGGCTCGGATTATTTGACATGGTTTATACTTGAGGCAGTATGTGAAAAATGCAGTATTCTAGTTATTGCTGATAATTCTACTATTACCATAATTCCGGACTATTGAGCGCACCTAATTAAAAGCCGCACCCACCGCATTTTTAAAGGAAAAATCATTTTGTACACACACAAGCCGCACCTGTCTATAAGGCACAGGTGCACATAAAGAGGTTTCAACGTTCAATAACTTAACCTTAACTTTTCTTTGCCTGTTACGCGGCAGCACGATGGCAGTAAAAGAGCACTCACACAGCTGGTTAAAAAAAAAAAACAAGCACCTTTCTCTGTCGAGTAATGCTTAATTTTAAAATGAAATAATCCTCGTTTGCCGTAACACTCGGTCAACCATTCATACATTAGGCTTTCTACCATCCACGCTTTCGTGTCAACTTTCAAGACAATATCTTTCGGGAGGTTTTCTTTTAGCAGATGTAACCAGGTGTACAATACACCTCAAAGCACATGTGAAGTGCGCCCTCTCATGGCCGGTTGTTTTCACTGGGACACATGATAGTGTCTCACTGTTACAGTTTCTGCTCGAGCAACTCCCTGGCGGCCATTGGAAAATAAGCCGCAAGGTTGAAAGTGTGTGACAAAAGTAGCGGTTTATAGTCCGGAAATTATGGTACGCAGAATTATTAGTCAGAATGTGTGGCTGTTGAAGAAGAGGAAATAGAATCCCTAAAAAATATCTCACCCATGTTCCAGGTGCCGATGAAGACAGATATCATGTCAGGCTCATCCTGGTTGGAATGTTTGTTTTTCATCAGCTGTAGCAGTTGGCAAAAGGCCTCTCGCTTCTAAAACACACAGACACACACGCACAAGCAAACCAGCACTTAATACCAACCAGCTTTTGAGCAAATTATCATGTCTGCAGCATAAAATATAAATGTCACGGTGGAAGTATAATTTTAAAAATATATATCTTTACTGCAGTCATTGTGAAGCCACAGTCTGAGTGCAGGTCTTATCTCTGTGTTAATGTCAAGATTGTAAATATGCATAACAAATATGCAGGTGTTTAGTCTTGGGACTGTGTTCATATGTGTGTGCATGCGGAGACCTTGGCACTAGCAAATATGAAGTCTTTCCTTTGGCTCTTGTCCTTTTCCTTCTCAAAAACAATGCCCAGCTTATTCTGCACCCGCTGGGACTTGATCAGCTGACGGACTGAGAGGTCAACAGAGTGATAGGAGAAAAGGCAACATAAAAAGGTCAAATGGTAAGTAGCAGTTGTCTGTTTGCCTTCATAGTCACCTGGATGTGCGGTGCTTACTTTTGTCATGTGTGAAAGTTGTCCAGTCTTCCTGGCTGTCCTTCACCTTTTTCATCACAACCAGTCTACCTCCTTCCACATCCACAGACAGAGTGTACTTCTGACTCTTCCCTATCTTGGTCAGCTCTGCCAGGTAGACATCCAGTTTGACCTGAAATGTGAGAAAAAAAAAAACTTCACAATTTAAGGAAGAACTGTTGTTAATTTCATAATCAGGGAGATCCAAAGGAATAAAATACCACATGACTCTCCACTGTATACTGAACAGTGAACATCAAAAAACAAACCACAGAATGAATGACCACATAAAATGTCTCATGGCATCTCCATTCAACAGTAGTTTTAGATGAACGCTGACAGAATCCTGTACATTTGAGACTTTGGAAGTGACTCAAAATGTTTCATTTCAAATCACAGGTTTTGGACTTTTTCTTAAATATTTTCAAACAGATGTTTATTTTCAGTCCGGTGTAAAAACCTTGACTCAATCTGTTGCTGTCCTTCGGGGTGAATGAGATCCCACATGTTGAGGCCTCTGTGACAAAAATATCTCTGTTCCTGTGCAAACAGGAAGCTGTTGAAATGAGTTCACCACTGAGAGTGCAAAATTAGCTGAGCGTTGAATATTTCAAATCAGACATCTCTGTTTGTAATAGCTCCTTTTTCACAAGGACCCTCCTGTAATTTATTTCTGAGTATTTAACATGAATAAATTGTTGGACATTTGTTACGGTGTTGGTAAAATTTTAGGAAATACGGTACATTTAGGGACTCAAAGTTATGCCCAATTTTTGGGTAAATGTAAGAACGAAAGTGGTAAATACCATTTGGGGTGTGAAAACCACATAAGATCCTACAGGAAAAGCATGACAAACATCCCTTTGGTCTCACATGACTCGTCTGGGAAACACTTCCGATTGCGCGGTGAGTAATCCATGACTTCACACTCTGATTAGAGTTCAAGTCTGAGGAATGTGTCATAAAATCAGGATTGGCAGCAAATATGTGTCCCCAAAGGACATTGACTATACTTCCATGCTAAAATAAAGCGAATAACTTTCTCCTGAGGTTTCGAAAAGAGGTGGTGCAATGGATTACTACCTCGAAGGGCTGCACAGGGATGGATTTGCTGTTCCGCATGGAGAGAGGAGGAGAGGAGCACAAGGTGGACAAACTCATGTCCTGCAGAGCTTTCAGAGCCTGAGGGGAGCATGAAAGAAGAATTACATACAGTAAGCATGTAGAAGAAAAAGATATACGTGAGAGCACACACACAAGCTTTGCATTGTTCTGAGGCACAATGTTGGAGTCAACAAGGAAACAGTTAGCCATTTCCTGGATGTGACCTAACAGCAGCCAAGAAGGTGGAGCATCACTTGCGTTGAGACATGTAGCTTGGTTGATTGCACTCTGTTGGTTTCCTTCCCTGTCAGAGCGCCTGTTCCATATAAAGGCCAACATAAATTATTTGGCAGCAGTAAAAGCAGAAATGTAAATGTTTACTCCACAAGAAAAACAACCAAACCCTTCTCCCTCAATTTCGATAAATGGTTTTGATGTAAATATAGTCATAGCGATGACTAACAGTTTTTGCTCATATGAGCCCTTTTGACCATCTTGGACACTAATAATGAAATGAAAAATGGTTGTGAAACAGTGAGCATGAACTATCCCACGGTGAGAAATGTGAACTGCTGATTATATAAATGAAACGCATAGGAAGTGAGATTAGGGTGAACTGCGTGTTGTGAATGTGTGTGTAAGGATTCAAGCCCAACACGATATCAACTACATGCATGCTCTCTTTACCTTCTTCTCTATGGATGACAGCAGATCTTTGAGAATGGCCAGCTTGGTCACTAGGTTCTCCAGCTCCTGGTCTCCACCCTGATTCACTGACTGCAAGAGAAACACATGTCATCATGTGTTTTCAAGGACAACTAGGTTCTCCAGCTCCTGGTCTCCACCCTGATTCACCGACTGCAAGAGAAACACATGTATGTCATCATGTGTTTTCAAGGACAATGAACCAACCTACTGACAAGTAGAGATTTTAATGCAGCCAAAAATGTTCAACAGTATATTCATACAGTATTGTCCAAACGATGTGTAAATGTTTTGTTGGGATCCGTTGTTTTCATGACAGTAAGACTTTTGTTTGACTCAGTCTACCCGTTGTCCGAAGGGGAAAAGGGACAACTGCAGAGAATTGTGTATTTCCTGGTTTCCGTGGTTGGAAAGTTAAATGAATGAACATATTTATAGAAATACTGAAGCCGGTGACACTTTCATATGAACCACTGTCTCAATTCTCTTTCTCTATTCTTCACGCTACAGCAAAATCTGTGATTAAAAAAAAACGCAGTTAGACATACAAAAGGAGGCAGGACATACTTGTTGTATCATCTTTGAGACCATGAAGGCACTCTGCTGATCGAAGACTTTTGACAGGATCTCGAGACCAGACAGGACCTTATCCACTTCCCTTTTCATGTGAGGCAAAGGCAGAAGGGGGGGTTCACAGATCAGTTGTCAGTAACTTTTGCGGCAACAATGAGAAAAGAATGAAAGCATTTCCCTTCGTTGTCCACCATTTTATCCATCCACAAGCTAGCCCATGAGAGAATTTAGAGATGTATTGTTGCTCAGATAAAAGTGTCAGCATCTGATTGAATATCCCTCTCACCCATTGAGACGCTTGCAAGAGGCCACAAGGGTCTTGTTGAGGTGAGGCAGCGAGCAGGCTCCCTGTTTCACAGCCTCGAGGTCTAAGGCATAGCTGCCCTTCAGATACTCATGGGAGATAGTGCTCAGGCCATTCGCTGTTGGAACACTGAAACACAAATTTGAAGTCAAACATCATTGAAAAACGCGGACCATATGTGGCGAAAAGTCAAAATGATTTATGTACTGCCAATTTACATGTGTAGCAAAATATTTGATGGCACCCCCGCATGTGCAAGCGCTCGATATATCTACTGTAAAGTATGTACAAAAGTACAGGATACGTGGAATGAAAATGGAGGTCAGTACTGAGTTTATCTTCTAACAATTGTTCCTATGCCGAGCCAGAGCGCAGAATTTTCATGCAGCCAAATTTTGTTTGGTGTTTATGAATTGAATATTTCACAAATGATTCATGCCGTAACAGAAATTTGACTTGGGTACATGCAAATACGAAGCTCAGTCGTGAGAATGCAAATTTGTTTTTACTCCAAGCATGACATTGCACACGGTTACACACATACAGTATATGACCGCTGCTTTTCATCACTCATCACATAGGACGAGATATGTTTTATACTTCTTCCTACTCCCCTTTGAACATGTAAACTGAGTTGAACTATGACCTCTATTGGTGGTTTTTCTTTCTTGCTCCCAAATTTTTATTCTTGTCTTCTAATTTCTTTTTATGTTCAATCAATCAATCACAGCAACATCTGTTATCCAGGTGCATCTCAACCGGATGTGGCTTGCCTTTTGCAGAGAGGGAAGGAAGAGATGCAAATGGAGGATTTAATGGTACATCTGCGGGGTGCGACTGCACATGTATTTAGGTGAGTGACACAGAGCAAAAAATAAAGAAAGTGTTGCACTTTGTACCTGTCAGCTGGCGTGTCTGAACTGGGAGTAATTGAGGTGGAGGCTGAACGAGGGGGGAGGGGTGGCTTCTCATCCTCGCCATCTAACAAACACGGAGGAGATGTTTAACGATAAAGTATGACAACACAGGCCACCAGTGTCCTTCTATTTGGAGAAGTACCTGAATAGTCGCGGTCATCGAGGATGGCGGTTTCCTCTCGGTCAACAGCATAAAGCAGAGTGGTCACCAGACCTTGGCTGGGCTGCAGGTACAACGACACAAGCTCTGGTAATGTTTTAAACCTCTTGGGTTGCACACCCTGTGACGTCTGGGAGGAGGACAAACGGAAGGATATACCAAAAGACAGAGGAAAAGAGGAAATGTTATTTTTACACTGCAGACATGGAACAAACTTTGCTACAAATAGTCTGGTCATGGTCTAGTGCCCCGAATAATTCAGTAATTCATGCTGCATAAGCAAATATGACCAGCAGTCTAAATATAGTTAAAATCAGGAGGAGGTGTTTAGAAATATTGCACACAAATTGCAGTGAGGCTAGCCAAATGAATCCTTAAAATGACAGAAAAAAGTTGAGTGTGAGACATCACGGTGAAAGCACTGAAGTGTGTCTGCAATGTGGGAGAGCGCCATGGTGGCGTGTGCCTGTCAGGCATGTGGGTGGCATGTGGCGATGGTGTGGGACTGCACAGCTGTTGAACAAGACACACAAAGACACTGCTGTTAGCACAGCCTGTGTGTGTGTGTGTGTGTGTGTGTGTGTGTGTGTGTGTGTGTGTGTGTGTGTGTGTGTGTGTGTGTGTGTGTGTGTGTGTGCGCGTGAGCTCAAAGTCAACCAAAGCATCTCTGCCTCCCTACCAGCTGCTACTGAGGAGATGTTTTTTTTTTCTTGAGTCCACATGCTGGACTCCTTGCGGACTGAGTGTATGTACCGTATGTGGTTATGTGCACGACTTCTCTGTATACCTGAACAGCCAAAAATCCTTCTTCATCTGGGAGGATTCTGTATGTGTGGACATGCTTCTGAAACCTGCACACAAGAGTAGTGGAATGCATATGAAGAAAAACCCCCAAAAAGCAAAAAGCTTTCCAAACATTGAATTCTTCAACAGAATACCAATGTAATTTGCTGTCAGATATACACATACATACAATACACTTGGAGTTGACCTGAGCTGGTAGGGCCGTGTGTGTGTGTGTGTGTGTGTGTGTGTGTGTGTGTGTGTGTGTGTGTGTGTGTGTGTGTGTTCTAGAATCGGGGGGAGGAGGAGTATAGAAAAGTTGAACCTGTTGCTGTCGATTAGGCAGTGAGTGGTCTTCATCCTTACACATACATACAGTTGACCATTCTTACATACAGAGTCCGTTAAAGCGTCAACACTGTAATCAGCGGAAATATTTAAAAGTTACGTATTATAGTCATTTCAGCATTGAGGTGAACTGCCTATCTGTACAAACACTTTCAACCAGTTGTTCATCAATGTTGTGACATTGGGATTGCATGGCCATGGCTAACATGCCTGGAGCTCCGAGCTGAACATCGATGGTTTTCATGTCTGCGCTCCACGTCTGCTCAGTGGACCGAACACAATTTGGTCAATTTGCCAAGCAAAACCTGTGGCTTATGTACATTGTGTGTGTGTCTTGCAGTTGTGTATCTGTTTATGTGGGTGCGTTAAATGCTTTGAATACCCTGCCATTCGAGATGTCCTCATGTTTGCACATTTCAGTTTGTACTACATACAGCGGAAACCCCGCCCCATCATCATCATAAGTAAGACTCTGGTCAGTCAATTTTTTTTTGGGGGGGGGGTGTTTTTTTATGCCACCACAGAAGTCTACGATGGTCCGATACAGCCATACCTGTATACTGAAAATAAAGTTGTGTTTCAGCGACACAGCAGGAGCGTAGGGACAAAAGCCCTTCAAACCTCTCTGCAGTTAGATAGTTGACTTCAATGCAAAAAGTAAACACAGCAGTTTTCAAGGGGTTCGAAGTTGTTGAGAAAAAATATACAGTATATAGATTTTGTTCTGATAATGTACAGTACATGTCTACTGTATAGAAATGAGAATACTGTAAGTTGCTTGACTCTGCTCATCATGTGCAAGTGTGCAGTCAAGCTTATAATGACTCAATCTAAAATCTGAGGACATCATGATTAAATATCCAAATGCTAAACAACACAAGCAATCTGACAATGTAAAACAAAAGTGAGTCCATCCTTGACTGGTCATTCAATTTCGAGTAAAGTTATACACCACTCTTATGATTCAAGAAAAAAAAATACTCCTAACAGTTACTCTCAGTCTGCAAAGACAAGGAATTTGTACCAGTGGAAGCAGATCCATTGTGAACTTTAGTGTGTATTTGTCTTCCTGTTGAAAGCTGATAAGATTCTCTGTTGAAGTAAATCCTACTGTTTCAACGGGAAGGGGAAGGAGAAAAAGACAAGATTCACACATAAACGTCCCAAGGTTACACAATGCACATATACCGTATGTGTGTCTGTGTAGTGTGGATGTGTTGATAACAACACATGGTGACAGTAAAAACCAAATCACGCCCCCAAAAAAATGTTCACGGGCTTTCATAGCTTCCTCCTATTCTTCCATCTTATTCACCATGAGAAGACAAGAAACCTGCTCAGATGAAGAAACCCTAACAAAGGTCTTTGGTGACAGAATGGTGAGTATGTGGGGGTCCACGGTTATTCATGTTTTGTATTGCAAAGATTGTTTCAAATCGAAATAAATCCTAATATGTCCTGGAATGGATTGTGTTTGATCTGAGAGGATTTGCTGTACAGGGGTCGCATGTTGCATGTGTTCATTTGTGTTAACATTTTCCTTTTTTTTTTTTTTGGTGGTGCCAGTGGAGACACTCAATTGTACAAAGCCCCTCCCCAAACTGTAGGAGTGCGACCCACTCACCCCCTTGTTTGAGAACATGATAAAAGATGACTCATATCGGAATTGGTCACCAGTTTCCTGCGTATGATGCCTCACATTGAACGGCAAACTCTTGATGAACCACAGTACAATATAACATCCCTATGTCCAGACACTTCTGTTTGTACCGCTAATGAGGTTACCTTTTTACGGCTTGAATACAAAACTCAAAATCTGCATCCTTTATATAGAGGAGTGGTGTCAAACTTGCGGCCCGGGGGCCATTGGCAGCTAAGCAGGATGATATTTTGCAGCCCCCTACTTGACATCAAAGTTTATGTTAGTGTGGCCTGTTTTTACCACATTGTTGCCCTGGCGTTTTTGTACCGTTGAGTATCGGTATCAATTTCCAGATGTGAAAGTTACCCATCCTTACACACAGCATAACTATTTAAAATGTGCATGTGCTGCAATTATAAGTACTCTGTGTTAGGGGAAGGGGGCGGGGGCGGACGACACATCTCTCTCAATTCAGGTCATAACATTTCAAACTAGATGACTCCAAATCTGGTGATATTTCAATTTAATGAGTATCGAAAGCAGTGACTCAGTCTCAACTAGTGGGTCGAACACATGACTCGAAAGAAAATGTTTGACTTGACTTCCTCTTTAAAAAGGTGCTCTGATTGCTGTGTTGTTAAAGTATGTTACCGCATCTCCACGATACAGGTTTTTAAAGGTCAATTTTAAACAGTACACTTTAATTGCTCTTAACGTCTATTAAAGTGGGTTGCGACGTAGCTACAATAGGAAAATGCGGGTGCTTGTGTGATCTAGGTCAGTGGTGCCCAAGTTCGGTCTTCGAAAGCCTCGATCTAGCCTATTGTATATGCTCCCCTCTTCCAACACACCTGATTCAAATGATCAGCTCATCAGCAAGCTGGGCAGAAGCCCGATAACGATCCTGATCATTTGAATCAGGTGTGGTGGAGGAGGGAAACATGTAAAACAGGCTGGATAGAGGCTATCGAGGACTAGACTTGGGCAGCTCCCATCTAAGTTCTCAACCTTTTTTCAGTGACGTACTCGCTGTGAAATAGTCTTTCAGGCAAGTACCCTCAAACCAATGCCAAGCAATATAAAAAAAAAAAAGTCTTTAAGCAGAGTGCCATGCCAACAGTGTCTGATTTATTAAACTTTGAAAGACAACTTGAGGTGGTATCTGTTGAATTATTTGGAGATTAAATTATATCACAAAAAAAGAAAGAAAGAGAGAAAGAACTTAATTATAAATCAGGATTTGTGTCCATAAATCTGATTTTCAACATAAAGTCTCCTCATTTGGGAACATAGTAGAGCCCTGTTCTCAAAAAGAATGTTTTAAACTTCATTTTAACTAAAAACAGAAACTGCACCCCTATCCGCCCTCAAAAAAAATCTTAAAATATCCAATTAATAATGAAAAAGAAGACTGACAACATTACCAACAGTCAACACTGAATATTGCATCATTGCAGTGAAGTGAGTGTTTTTGCATTTAATGAGACATTTTGGTGAGATATTTGGCTTGTGCTTCACTAAGGAGCTTTGCCATATTTGGTGTGCAGGGAGGCAACTGCTGTCATCAAGCTCCTTTTTTTGCATGGATGCAACTGTTTGAATGTATTCTAAAAGCTTAAATACTGCACAGTAGACAGCTGTTATATGTGGAAAATGACAGGGCAATGTTTTCCTCTGAGATTGCTCAACACCCACCAAGGAGATTAGGCACTAAAGGCAGTACAGTAGACACTGCACATCATCACAGTGAGGTGCATGCATATACACACAGCATAAACTCAGCATGGGGTAAATGATCAGGCAAGAGATGTAGGTCAAGTCAATGACACAGCACCAAGTCACGTGACACGTGCCTTTCAATGCCTGCCTGGTCGTCAATGTTTGTGTAGAACTTGAATCACTTGGAAAGCATGTGACTTACCTTGCGGTTTTTAGATATGCTCCATTTATTTGAAAGGAACACATCAATGGCAGTTATTGCGTGTTTGTCAAAATGTGAGGGTCTGCTGATGTTTGTTGCCTTACGAAAGCGAGTAGCGGGTAAATGTCATTTGAATGGAAGGTAGGTTTTATCATTTATTTCATCCTTGAGGTTGACTCTGAAGTGAATCTTAACTACCAGCCAGCTCTGAATTTGCTTGTTTGTTTGATTTTTTTTTTTTTTTTTAACCACTGCTCTTCAGTTGAACACCAATTTTCAGCACCCACATAGTGGGCTGAGAGCGCCTGGTTAAATGAATGACGTTGCAAGCGACCACAGCTTTCAGAAGACAGACACGGGCAGCTCAAAAACTACTTTCGTGTGCCATGCTGGAGTTTAAGTGCCTGTCTCTCCCCTGCTGTCTATGTCCTCGTAGCGGGTAAATGTCATTTGAATGGAAGGTAGGTTTTATCATTTATTTCATCCTTGAGGTTGACTCTGAAGTGAATCTTAACTACCAGCCAGCTCTGAATTTGCTTGTTTGTTTGATTTTTTTTTTTTTTTTTAACCACTGCTCTTCAGTTGAACACCAATTTTCAGCACCCACATAGTGGGCTGAGAGCGCCTGGTTAAATGAATGACGTTGCAAGCGACCACAGCTTTCAGAAGACAGACACGGGCAGCTCAAAAACTACTTTCGTGTGCCATGCTGGAGTTTAAGTGCCTGTCTCTCCCCTGCTGTCTATGTCCTCGAAGCTAAAGTTGCAAGTGTGTACCAACGCGAACACTCCATTGCCATTAGGCAAAATACCCCCAAAACGAGCAGGGGCTACGATAAAAGAACCAAACTTCAAGGCTTCGTGAAGGCATCACACGCCTAACTGTATTTGTTAACGTTTATTACAGTTAATAAACAGTGCCAAATCAAATCAAAAAGCAAATTTGGCCAGAAAACATGAGCAAACACGACAACGAGTAGCGTCTGTGTAACGAAATTAGACTTTTTTTTACGGTTGGGTACTTACAGAACACACAAAGCGTACGCCCCGTTGACACTCTCGCTATCCCGTACCAGGAAGCTGCCGTCTCTCCCGGCGCGAGCCAGCAGCTCCTCGGCCGCAGCTCGACTGAGGTCCCTGTGATACCACATCGGCGGTGCGGGCCCGAGTGGAGAAAGCCCGCCGCCGCCACCGCCGCCTCCGGCCATGGCCACAGCCCCTCTAACCGGCGTCAATTGCTTCCCAACTTGTCCGAAAACCTCCCAGCCTGCCTCCCGAAGAGGGGGGGAGTAAGACGAAGAGTTGAGAATCGACGAAAGTGGCGAAGACGTCAGCGCGAACAATCTGCGGCGACACAAGTTTCCAAAGTGTTGAGTAAAGTTGTTTGCTCTGTCGTCTCGGTTCCTGAAAGGTTCGCCAGTCGCCACCCGCCTCTTTCGCTTCCCACTACCACGGAAATCTGCCTATGTAAATCCACAATGGAAAGGGGGGAACAGCGGTGGACACAGCCTATGTCCACACACTCGAGCCTCCAACTGTAAACACACAAAGACCTGGACACGACTTTCAAAGTAAAAGCACTAATAGACGAATGACTTTATGAGCGTTTTATATTTTAAGGCACCTTTTGCTTAACATTTCCTTAAAAACAAGATCGGCTTTCAAGGATCTCCGTGAGGCAGTACTCCGGTATTCATACATAGAGCGTCACGCAAGTGTTTGCTTTTTACTTGTCCCTTGTCTAACTTGTTTCCATTTGTTTTTGTTTAGGTGGGCCACCAGAAGTCGTATCAGATATGTTTTGCAAATGCAGCTTGCTGTTCATTCTTGTTGCAACAGTTAGGTGATGAAAAAAGTTGTTGTTGGACAGCATTGTTGCATATGTAGTAGAGTTGTGTGTTCTATCCTTGGCCCTTGTGACTATGTGGAAGTGTCCTTGAGCAATATACAGTACTGAAACCCCAATTGCTCATAATGCTGTGTCATCGGGAGATGAATGAGAAGTCAGTGGTGAAGCACTATAGAAATCCCCATTTGAAAGCTCTCAATCATATGTTTTTACGTGCATTTATTTTGAAGCATACACTGCAAATGGGAAACTCATTAGACATCAGTTTGGGCTGACAAGGGATTATGGCATCCCCCCCTCCCCCCAAACATTTTATTTTCAAAATATATTGTATTTTTTGCATTTACATTTTATTTAGGGCTTCAACTACTTATCGTCAGGTTTATAATGCAAGTTTGATCCACTCTAAGTTTTTAGGTCTTCACACAAATATCACACAATACAACAAATTAAAGCCCTTTTTAGAACAAATGAAATGCTTACCAACAGAATGTCATACTGTCATTGTAATACTTGTTTTCCAAAGCTGATCTCTGCATCCATCAAGTTCGCGTCTAAGGGGGCGCTTTTTCTTTTCTTCCCATAGGTTTTGCAGTGTGACCTGCACACCAAAGCCATGGGCTGTTTTTGTTCGAACATCAGCAATCCCTGCATGTAGCACCGAGGGAACCGAGCTGCAATTGGCAATATTCTCCTGTTACGCAATCCTTTCCTTTTTCAGAACACACACTAGAGGGCAGACTTACACAAATGGAGACTTCTGTGATCATGGTTCTCAGGAACAGATAGTTTTAACTTTAACCCGAGTAATAGTTAGACATCATCAGATGTGTCATGCAGGACCTTGACTGTGTCATGCTTACAGTCAGCAAGTACAGTATGCTAAGATACACTTATTTGGATGTTATCATTTTGGTTTGGAATCGTGTGGTTTTTAGATATCGGACTGAGTCAAATGTCACAAAAGGAATTTATATCTCAAATGTCAATGTCAATTTTGCAAAATTCACAACAGACATTGGATTACATTTTTTCAAGCATTGGAATACCACTAAGTATTCTCTGATACAGGTGCGCACGCTCGCACACACACACACACACACACACACACACACACACACACAGCTGGGACTGAGGAAACTAGAACCCAATAATTAGCCAGCAATAGAGCCCACTAACCACTAGTGGTGAAAGGGAGTGGTCGTGCAAATTCGGTCTCTTCGATCTCTCGAGTCCAGAGAAATTCTCACAGCAGTTCCCAGTTCATTTTTCATGTTTATTAACATGGTTGTCTCTCAAAAAAATATATATTTTTTAAGTTTACCTATTCTCTGGAGTTACTATAGAATACACTACAATGTAATGTATAGAAATGGCATCCCACTGCATTTATTGAAAAAAAAATATTATCTTCCACAAACTGTCTATCTTATGAAGGAATGGGCAGGCTACTGCTTGCTATTGCAACCTTCCTCCAACACCCCGAAAACGGGTGTGTTCACTGAAGACTCTAATTTGGCAATCAGGGCACATGGTGTCTGTGTGTCGGACAGTCCTGTGTTTAAAAAGTATCAGTCCAGGGTAGCCATCAAACAATATGAACATTTTACATAATTACAGTGACCAAGATAATCAAAATGATGACATTATAAGTCTGATCATGATGTTGCTCAAAGAAATGCATACAAAACAATCAAAAAATACAGATACATGCACTTAAATTGATTTTCTCATGGCCGGAACACCTAAACCAGTTGTATATATTTGAAACCAGACATTGTATTTGAAATCAACTTTATTGATTCATCTAGAACCAAGCGGTACAGGCAAGGAAAATGTACTCTCCTTCTTAGAACAGTGTAGAAATAAATGATATAGCCAGGAAGAGAAGCCATGCGAATGAAAAACTACGAGGTTGCTGAGCATTGTTGATGTAATACTGAGCGACCTTTGTGTTGGGGTTTGGTCCAGTGAACCAGAGCTGCATGCACCGCCCTGATGTTTTGGAGTGCCTCGTATAAAGGTAGGAGTTTGACCAAATTTCTTCACACATGGATTTAGGCGTTGGGTAGACATCAGTCCACTTTCTGCACTTGCTGCCTTCGGGGCATTGGTTACTACCTGTATTACAGAAAGATGATTATTTAGGTTTAATTTGTCATCATGAACACACAGCAAATGCAACCCCTTGATACACTCCATGATATTTTCAGATAAAATATGTTGACTTTCAGAACAAAAACAAATCTTTGTATTGCATGTGTGTCCATAAGCAAAGGAGCAAAACAGAGAAAACGAGTCACATTTGCGATGAGAACACACCTGAGCTCCAGTCCCATCCCTTGTGCCAGTTCGTCTTACATGTCATATCATTTTTGCAGTCCTCCCACCACTCATGGCAGTCCTCCATACACAGAGGTACATTCAAGATTCGCTCCTTGCGCCAGCTTTGATCCACCTGCACAAACACAGTATTGGTAACATGGTATGATTGCATAATCAACAAGATTATGTATTACAACACACAATACATAACTGGGTAAAATAGCATCAAAAACACTAAAAATGATAGTTTTGCCAAAGTTTGTACATCCTGTATCCCCTCTTGTGCTGACGTGTAGTGCCGTCAGTGTAAATTGAACTAACACAAAAATGACAGCACCCACCGCTTGTATCCAAGGCCCTAAGTGTGGCGAGCATTCATAGAAGCAAGTGTCTTGGATGAAATGCCTCTTGCACTTGGAACTCATCGCACCACAGTGGTTCCAGTTGAAGTTGTACAGATAGGAGTTATCTTCGTGGGCTTCAGCAGTGGTATTTGCTGTGCAACATGCATTGTCACGCCATGGCTTACACTAAAATATAAGGAAGAACACAAGTAGCTCTTACTGCTGTTTTTAGCAATTGTGAATGACAGCAAAAACAGAAGAAGTTGCATTCGTGTCTATCACCTGAAGGTAAAGTTTTCCCTCTGGGCCAGGTTTTACTTTATGGTGTTTGGCATCCATACACATATTTAGTTTGTCTTGACACAGAGAACTCCTGGCAAAGGCGAGCAGCAAGACCGGAACAACCCACATGGCTCTGCAGCAGAAAGTCACTGATGTCGCCAAAAGTAAATCATACAACGTACAGACAGCTATGCGGCAGGTGAGGTTGCGGGGGGAGAACTTCTATAAGAGAACACATCATGAATAGCAGTTCCTCTTATTTTGTTTGAAATTAGCAATGTTGTTTAATTTTTCAAACTACAAACATTATAACTCACAAATTCAAATGTTTGTAATTTAGAGTATTTATAATTGACTGAATGTAAATGAAATATTGGTCAAAATAGCCTAAAATGTTCCAGCGTTTTTTTTTTTGTTTTTTTTTTTTTTTTGGGCCTCCTCATTTTTTCCAGAGCTGTATGGTGGCTTTGTCAGCATTAACTGCACGTATAGTGAATACATTCAGTCCTGTAAGCAGCCAAACCTTTAATTTTATGTGATACACTGACTTGTAATTATTGGTAATTGTACATAGGGATGAAGAGTGAAGAAAAGAAAATTCAGTCCTACTTAAAACAACAATCTCTCAAAAAATAAAATTATATATATATATATATATATAAAATACACTTTTTTACCCTTAGCGGTTAGTACAGTGGACAGCCTGTTATCAGGTCACCTTGCTCTCCAACCACTGATTTTAGACTGTGCACAAATGTAATATAGTTTCATGTTTTGTGTTCAGTGAGATAATCATCATTTCCTGATACATTCCAGTAAGGAGCTTGCTCACCATCATGACATAACAACTATCTGCCGTTGGAAGAGATCTCATGTTGCCACACTAAGATGCCGTTACAGAATGAATGACAAATTCACACACATCAACAGTCTTCCCTTTAGTTTTGAGACTCTTCTTAAATATTAAAAGAACACTCTTTCAAAGAGCAAGAAGTCTGTGAGAAGTCCTCTCAATAAAAAGTTTGAAAAGATAAGAAAGATTAATGATCACCGTACAGCATTTTAAAATGAATATAGGGTACTCACATTTACAGTCAGAACACTACTGGCACTTCAACAAATATAATAAAATCCAGAGGTAAATGTAAAGTTTTCAGTGAAGAATGAAATTGTTCTTTACCTCATTGCGGTTATCTGCAAATTGCTTTGAAATCCAAGAACCTTCCTGAAAACACACCTGAGTAAGTATAAGAGCAAGTGTGACCAAAGATGAAGATAGCCGTCAAATAAGAAAAGTTATCAGAGCATTGTTTCCAAAGTCCAAAGTCTTCCAATTGTGTGTGGCTGTGCTCACGTGTGTGCGTGTGTGTGTGTGTGTGTGTGTGTGTGTGTGTGTGTGTGTGTGTGTGTGTGTGTGTGTGTGTGAGACTGAAGAAAAGAAGGGATCTGATAATGGCATTTATTACGTCTACATGTGAGGTAGTTTAGTCTTATCTCAAGGTTAGTCTGCTGTATACACACAAAAATGGCAGGATGACCTAAGAATTAAAGGTAAGATAAGTTAAAGGCGACATATTTTGGACATTTCCGTTTTTAATTGTTTTATGGGTATGTGGAGTGCTATAAGCGTGAAATTAGACAAACAATTAAATTAATTGTAGCTACTTATCTGCAAAAATGTAACTGGAAGTGATTAGTTTCATATTTTGCGAAATTTCTGAGTGATAATCCTTGAACCACAGCAATATCCTAGACTTCATGACATTTTGCAGAATATAGAGGGTAACAGACAGTATACCTGTGTACCCAATTGAAAGATGTGTTTCCTGGTGAAATTGTCAATGTGTCATGGCTGTTTGTCGCTTTATGCAAACTAATCATCAATCGCGATAAAGAAACAAGGATCTATTCCGCATAATTTAAAACGTAAAGTGAGTAAACTTCAAAACTTTCTGGCCTCTTGGGTCCACAAACAAAGCGGAACGTTAGCGCAACTACACTCAACCGGAAATAGTCGGACGTCGTTTGCTGAACGGAACACTCCTAACTTCCGACATATTCGTTTTGAATTTGTCAACGATCGGTCGAATTTGCAGGCTAACAGCAATAAGTCGGTGGTAACTCTGTTAATTAATTTATCTTTATTTATTTCGATTGTTGTTGTCACTTATTACTGTTATTAAAGAATAATACGTGGGTAAATGCATTTTTAACGCGTTATCAGTGGCGTCGAGCACAGGTTTTGCTTTGGGGTGCTCCGAAGCCGACATGTCCACGCTTTTTCCCTCCTTGTTTCCCCGAATAACCGAGTCCCTGTGGTTCAACTTGGATCGACCTTGCGTGGATGAGACGGAGCTGCAGCAGCAGGAACAGCAGCATCAAACCTGGGTAAACGTACATCCACGTTGAAGGGTTCTCAAGGGGCATGACAACAAATTTAAAATCCCCCCGGCGCAAGACTAATGTCACCAGTCGGAAAGAGTTGGACTAAACGAACAAAACGGTGTTTATATTTTGTCCGTATGAAGAATTAAATGTTATGATACTGCGTCGCTCCCCATTCAAGGTTAGACGATACAAATTTGGCAGCATATAATGTTCTTTGGCAACATACAAATTAGATTTAACTTAGTCTGCATGTCCTCTAAAATCCTCAAAATTCTCCGTGATAGGTCAGTATAAATATTCCAGCCAGTTATCACCACTTTTTGGGCGGCCGAAGATGAGTTATCCTGCTGTGCGTGTGATAAACATGGAAATACTGCATAAAAATCATCTAATCGAAAACGATGCGCCAGGGATTCCACTTCACACCGTATCCAAAAGTAGATGCGGAAAATATTTTTTTTTAACATTTCAGAGCTCTTTTTTTCTGAGGAATTCAAAGCAGACCTGCGCGATGCAATCACACCTAAATGTCCGCACAAAAATGACAGAAACGAGTTACTTGTCACATATCTAAATTGTCATTGGTGCTTCTTCGAGCCAGTATTGAGGATTCCCAGCATCAGTTCTTTGCTCCCTCCCCCCTGCATAAGTAGTGTTTCCCCCCTCATTGTGTTTGAATGCAGGTCATAGGTTGCAGTTTATTAGCAACATCAAAACAATGTACAGTATTCTGAATTGAAGGGCGCTGTAACTTGACGTTTGTGAATTTGTGTTATTCCTACAATGTGAATCATGGTTCAATCTTTTGAACATTTCTTTTACCTTAGTTGCAGAGCATTGCTGAGAAGGACAACAATCAACTACCAATTGGGAAAACAATTTTTGAGGTAATTCTTTATTTGTGTCCAATGTTTAACTCCAACTGTTCTACATGAGCGTCATCCCAAGAAAATATTTTAATAGCATTCTTAATGAGACAGATTTGTACATTGTACATGAAAAAAAAAACCAGCCATCGCACATGATGCTGCTTTATGTACTCTGCAAACTAAACTACATTTCTGTGCCTTTCTTTACCATGTGCATTTCTTTTCTGGGTTCAGGGAGGAGGTTATGAGGAGGAGGAGGAGGAAGATGATGAAGACGAGGAGGACAGTGAAGAGGACTCAGAAGATGAAGAAGACATGCAGGACATGGATGAGATGAACGATTACAATGAGTCACCCGACGATGGCGAGATCAATGAGGTGCTTTTTTCCATCACTTATGGAATTTGTTGCACATTATGATTATCTTAAATGCAAAGACATTTAGGAATCACCCATTCTAGAAACACGTTTTGTAAAGTTTGTCTTTGTTTCTGTTTGTCAGGTGGACATGGAAGGGCAAGATCAAGATCAGGACCAGTGGATGATTTGAACAAGATTTCCAGGTTTCGACTTCCCACTGACATGCCTCAGAGAGGCATTCATTGAACAAAATATGGTTGCAAGGCTACACGGTATTTTCCAATATCTTTGAGCACATTTTTGTTATGATAACAATGCAGTGTGCAGTTGTGCTTAATGCTACAGCTGGTTAGTGTATTTCAACAACAAATGCACATGGCTAAATAAATGAATGTGCTATAATGAGACCTACAAGACTCATTAACTCAATCAGCTACTACACTTGTTTCTCATGGAGATGCATCATAAACAGAAATGTTACAGTAAACTTGACTGAACGTTTTCAGTTTTGTTACATGTAGTATGACTTGACTTTGGACAACATTAAAATGTTTTGTTAAAAAATATTGAGCATGATGTATCATTTTGGAAGGGTTTCAAAGCAGTTAATGTAAAATATAATTAATATTAGTAAAAAAAATTAAAACATTTCATTTGTTTTTTTTGTGACAAAAAAGGATGGACAATAAGTGAGAATAAAAAGTAGATGGAGGGACATTACGCAATGAGGCAACTTGAGGTAATAAGCAACAGGTCACTAAGATGACTGGCTGTAAACAGAAACTTTAAGGATTAACTATGGAGAGACACTTGGAACTGCAAATGTAAAAAAAATTGCAAAGACTGCATCAACAGAGCAGGCATGATTGACTGCATGGGCTCAGAACGCTTGGGGCGATTTTGCCATGCCCTCCAAGAATGCTACTTAAAACATTACATTTGCAGAGTTTGTATTGAATGTCCTTCATTTGAGATCTGTGGACGACCCAACACTGACATGCCCAATATATTTTATTTTGTGCATCAGCATCATGCTCGATTAACCCTTGTCATTTATGCAGATTTATGTTGTTTTATTTTGAGTCTATTGCACTTAACTATTGGTCTACTTGATCCCCTGATACACCAGTTCTGCCATCCCGTCTCTGATACCCTTGCTATACTCCAGTGTGGCGCGGTGGACCTTCCAATCATACAAGCCACTCTTGCGAATGTGTCGGAGAAATTTGGGAGCGCCGGGAAACAGCACGTTGTCAGCCAGAATTATAGATCCTTTCCCGAGCAGACCGGAACCTTCCAACATCTGCAACACCATCATATCAACAAATGCACATCGCGTTAGGCAACAGCAGAACTACATTTGATTATCTTGTGAAAGCACATATCACGGGGGTCCTCAATAGATTCCATAGCCACAGCTATCATTATTAGATATTTTTCAATTCACTCGCAATTTAGCTCATCCATCCATTTAACAGTGCGAATTAAAGTCGTATGTGAAATAAAACTTACAGATAGATAGATAGGCCAAATTGAAACCTGAAGTGTCTTTTTCAAAAGCACGTTATTTAAATTACCATACATGTATCTGATCTGACTGTCCTTCCATTTTAGTATAATACAATGTTACTGGCATTTTATAGAATAGATTTTTCTTTTTAACTTTTTTTCCCCCCCACAGTAAGCTGGTGGTGAGAAGGTATGAATTATAATGCAAGATGTTCTCTGTTGTTCCGGACCTGGGCTTTAAGAAATTAGCCTCAACCGCTACTCTTCAACTTTTCACTCAGGACCATTTGTGTGTAGAGCAAAGGAGTGGAGTATCTTGCTTTGCTCTATAAGATAAGATAAGAAAACCTTTAATAGTCTCACAATGGAGATAAGAAAAAGAAAAAAAAAGATACAGAACATTGTTACTTTGGGAAGTGTAGTAATCTTGGGCAGTAATTCAAGTGCTCACATGACTGGAACGCAGTTATTGACAAAGGGAAACTGACTAAAGTGGGAAAAAAAAAGTCTTGGAATCCTGTACTTTTATTACTCGGAAGGCTGAACTTTGGAGAATGAGTGTTTACAACACTGTCGGCATTTGTAAAGATGAAATGCTATCGCCCATGACCGTCTCAGCAGTTTGAAACTGCATCAATTTGTTGTGGTGAGGCTCTTCATTTTATGATTTGTTTTGCAGCTACAGTACCTGCAGATCAGCACAGTAGCATTTCTTCCAGTGGTCCATGAAGACCAAATCAAGCCTCTCCAAACCAAAGTCAGACCGCAAGCGTGGGATGACTTCATCTGAAGGATTCACAATCAGCTCTACCTGAGTGATGAGAAACACACCAATATGTTACATAGTTGCAAAAGTCAACATATGAACAGATCCAATTCGAAATAGTAACGATGATTGTGTCTTTCACTGTGTCGTCGTCAAAGCCGGCCAGGCGGATGATTTTCTCAGCTATGGCAGCGTTCCTCTGGTCCATCTCAACACTGTAGATCCTGGCACCCAGTGGTAGAGCTCGGGCCATACGCACAGTGCTGTAACCACAGTGTGTCCCCAACTCCAGGACTGTTAGAGGACTCTGCTCCATCAGCAGCCGGTCCAGGATCTTCCCTACACACATGTGGATGCAGGTACAAAACATCAATATATTTGAAATAATATTTATTGAAAAGATGACAATGCCCAGATTTAAGGTTGACCTAGCAATGTCAACTTCCACCACCATCATTACAAAAAATTGCGAGACTGGGTCACTAGATTATTGTGACCAGAGTGTTGTTAAACTGTTCTGCTCACCCTTTTTTGGTCCAATGTTACTGATGTACTCCACCTTGCTACACCACTCATCAAAAGTGTCCAAAATGCTGTCAGGGTCGCCGGGTGTGGCATGGGTGAGAACATACTGGTAGGCTCGCTCCTCACGGCTGAGACCGGTGACACAGTCCTTCCAAAGGCGGACCAGGACCGCTCGGTAGAACAACGCAAAGTAGAAACGGTATCGGATGAGCAGCGTCAGCAGGAGGGGGAGGAAAGCCAATGCAATGGCAGGGAACGCCATTCAGTCAATCATTTATGTTCTAAAGAGAAACAATGAAGCAGCAGTAAGGAACATTGCCACCCATCGATCTTTGAGGTTGAGTGGATAAGTCAAGATGAATATTACTTCTTGCAAAAAAATCTTCATTTCATCATTCAAAATTGCCAATTCTACTTTGTGTGTTAAAAAGCTAAATAATCACTTCATTGTGATTCCTTCCGGCATTTAATAACAGCGACTGACAAGAACTTAGAATATCCCTCACATCAATGAACAGATCCCGAATTGACAAACATCATTATGTGATTTATTATAAGCATCAACTAATCTATTATCCGACTCATCCAAACTTGCCAATTAAAATGTGAAGTTTTTGTGCGTTGTCTATGTAGCAGAAGGAGATATTCAGACATAATTCTGTGGCACAGATAAAAACATTCACCAGACGAGAACGCACTACAAATAAAACGGACACTCACCGAGTTGTTGGAAAATACTGTTACTAATAACTGGCAGCTGAGACAAATACAGCTCGATGCAAGTGTGTATACTGTATGTGTGTGTAGGCTAATTGAAGGTTGAAGACCTGAAGCTATGAATTATTGAAGCATCACGTTCATTTGTTTATTCAGTAATAGTTTACTACAGACACTAAAACCAGTTAGGCCAATGGCATTATAGCAACATATTTTTCATCAGTGTCAATCTAACATACATAATGTTTATTTTTGTAGCATTAATACAAGAACAGAGAAACAAGAGTCACGTTTGCCGCGGGAGACAAAGTGAAGCAGACTATCTGCTGTATCAAGTTAACAGCAACAGGTGTGTAGCCGATGTTCGAGTCATGTTTCCCACTTCGCGACGTCAATATGGAAGGGAACTGCGATTATTGCAGGCAACCAAACAAATTTATGGAGTATCGTAAATGCAATAAATTAAGTAAGATGATCAGCAAAGTCAAACCCAAAAAAGCATTGCACAGGGTATAAAACGGCATATTTCAGTTTATTTCTTGTTTGTTGCTTTGTTCAATGACACAACAATCTATTGTTTTCTATGTTCATGGTAAAAAAAAAACAGTATGGTATAAGTGGTTCCTCATCATTGCACCTTAATATGTATGAATATTTTTACTTTGTAATGAGAAGGTTGTTGTATTACTGCATGATTACAACAACATCACGCTGTTTGACGCCAATTACAACAACTTAGCTTGTGAATGTACACAATTTAGATGTAGGCATTTGAAAAATGACTGCTCAAATGTTTAGTGCACAGGTGTCAAACTCCGGTCCTCCAGAGCCGCTTTTCTGCATGTGATTCCATCTTATTTAGGATCATTATCAGGCTCCTGCAGAGCTTGCTGATGACCTGATCATTTGAATCAGGTGAGTTATAGCAGGGAGAAATGTAAAACATGCAGGAAAGCAGCCCTTGAGGACGGAGTTTGAAACCTAAGTTTAGTGGGAAATGTAAAACATTGTAAAACCTGTCAGGTAAACAAGCGCGCCATACATGAGTCAATTATTAACCCTTTGCACCATTAAAAAAAAAAAAAGATATGTCCAGGACCTTAAGCCACTTAGCACCTTAAAAAAAAGATAGGAGACCATTCATAAAGCAAGTGGTCAGAATGCAGACTCACAGTATCCTTTCACACTTCTTGAACACAAATGTTTAAAAGTCTGTGCATGGGTGATTAATTTGGTTATTTAGAGACTTTTTGTGAACAGGACACTTTGGAAAAACGCTACTAACTGGTTAAAGACTGAATAGCTACAGCTCAGGGCAAGATTGTTTCAGGAGTCCCCTGATGAACTTCTTCATATCTTTGTCGCCTCGAGTCCAGCGCACCAGACGAGTCAACACCAGCCTTCCCTCTTCAGCTCGAGCTAGTGCCAAATACCATCCATCCAGGACCCCGTTCACCTTTTTGTCCATGACCTCCTCACCGAAAACAAGATCATTTTTGTCTGCTGAGTCCAAGCCGGGACACGCACAGGTGGCGCCTTCCTGCAGCCACAGAGCACCGTGGGCCATTGCGCCTCCAATCCCGGCCCTCTCCGCACCTCCCCCTGCCCACCTCAGGATGCGGCTTCGGGCCAAAGGCACCAGCTGAAGGTCTCCTCCCACTGTTGACACACTGCCCAGACGCATCTTGAATGCTGCGAAGGAGACAAAAACGTGTTATTCCGGGCACACCATAAAACACAACAGCTCATGTGAAGGAGAGAAACAACGATTTTATTTTCCTTATGGTCTGCTCTCAAGATACATGTCATATTATGCCATCATCTCTTTCCTCACCATATGGACTTAGACAAAAGTTGTCCTTGATTTCAGTTTCTCCCTCAGCTGCCAGACTGCAGGCATCACAAATGACACTTCCTGGGTATTGAAAAGAGGGATAAACATGTTTGCATTTGCAGGAGTCAGAAGAAAACAAACGACAAAAAAACAACTTCCACCATCACTTAATGATACACGAGGTGCTAGACAAAAAAATAGAATATAAAGCCTTACTTAACATCAGATACTGACTTATTCTAATGTTCATTTATTTATGTAGGTTTGGAATTTACACGAAGTAATTTACAACCTTCTGCATACACATGTGTAATGAGATACACGAATAAACGAGGTGCAGAATAGCTTGCTTTTCTAAAGATACAAGTGCAATTTTTATGACATTAAGACCATTATTGCAGTTTTCGTCATGGTTGCAGTTTGCAGGGCAGCACGGTAGGTAGCAGTTAGCAAATCTGCCTCTCAGTTCGGATATTCTGGGTTTGAATCAGGCCCTCGTGTGTGCAGTTTCCTCCCACATTCCAGAAACATGCATGTTTTAAAATTGTAATTGCGTCTTTGTCAATACATGCCCTGCAATTACATTCAGACTGAAAGGCAATATAGACTTTCATCAACTTGGGGCGTGGGAGGAAACTGGAGTATCCGGAGAATTTCACATATCACACACGCACGGAAAGAACTGTACAATCTCCACCACTGACCAAGTGCATTGTTTGTCCTCCCGTGTAAAGTTTTAGTAGTCGCACAGACCTTTGAGCGCCTCCTCGTGGGTGATCTCCTCCACGAGCCGCGCATCCACCGCCCCACTCGGAGGGATGCAGAGTAGGGTTCCGCGTGGAAAGCGGCTGCAGTTGAACATTTCAGGCCAGGGGAAGCCGAAGGCGCTCATGACGGGGACGCAATGGTCGCGAACGGCCTCGCACAGGCTCCTGCACGGGCTGACGGGCCCGCTGTAGTCTGGAACGCAAACCGGTGCGAACAAGGAGCACAAGAACTTCTTGGTGTCCCGGTGACACAGCTTGGAGACAAGCGGCAGCCAGGCGGCAGACTGCTGCTGGGCCTCTCGCAGGGTGTCGTGGCCCAGCAGGTTGGGCAGCCTCATGTACCGGTAGCCGACGCCGTGGCACAGAGACAGGGTGCTCGGTATGGCCTTGCACACCGAGCGGACCGACGAACTGAAGCCGAGGTGGGCAGGAGCTCGAGCGTCAGACGCCTGAGAAATTCCGAGCGCCAAAACAAACAAGAGCGCTCTCATGGTGGTTGTTTTTGTTCGTCTACCAACTAAAGGTGAGTTCCACGGCGCTGGAAGCTCTTTCCTGCCTGCTCCCTCCCCTCTCTCGGCGGGCGTAAATAAAGGAGAAGGTGTGGAGGAAACTGGAGGGTAAACAAGAGGACAGACGCCTGTTAATCATCACCCCCACCCCAAAAGGTTGGGTGACTGACTACTTTTTGTCTGCAGTCAAAATGTCTGCAAGCTGCTCAACTGTCGTGATGCATTCAAGTACAGTACAGTCAAAAGAGTTATGTGAATATGCCATGAGGAGTTTAAGTTATTGATTTATGGGAACTGGACTTGCTTTGCCAAACATTACACGATGTTACAAAGATAATTGCTTTATCTAACTTGGAATGAAGAGTTACTGTATTGTTCCTGGATTTATTGATACAGGGTCTTTGTGCATTGGATGTAATGAAAAGCAGCACGGTGACATTTGAATTAAAAAAAATTCATCCATGCATCAGGTGAGCAAGAGTCTATTTTACTACTGAGTGTGGGCGAGCTGTAGGGTTCATTGTGGACTGGTCGCCACCAACTGCAAGGCATGAAAAAAAAGAGTCAAACAAAATACAGGGAAAATTAAGAAGATAAAACTCTTTTTTTTTTCTGTTGTGAAAACTGAAAACGAGAACCTTCCAGAGCTTGCAATGTCAATGAATGATTTTTGTACAGTAGATTCACACAAAAAGATGGGAAACAAAGCCAATGAATGTCATTCAACAAATTCGTTACCTCAAGACTTTTTGGAGGATAGACCGTCAATACCGCCTTCTCCCCACCACTCAGGAACGGGTCCATACTTTTTTTTGGGTCTATGTGTCCCCTAAGATTGGCTCCAAATGAGTTCAGGGTGTTCCCCAGCGATTCCCGAAGTCAGCTTCGAAAGGCTCCAGCACACTCACGACCTTTGTGAGGATGAGTGGATCAGATAATGGATGGATAGATGGTAGACTGTGTTTTGGACATGACCCCCAAATATGTACATTATGTCAATTGGCTGTCATCAGCTGTTAAAAGACCATCAGTGCAATAGTTCAGCATGTTCTACTCTGTCATTGTATACTCAGCCTGAGGGGAGGTTAAAAAAAAACGCTTTCATCTTAGTCTGGATAGACTGCCACGCATGCACCAGCAAGCCTTATCCTGCACTTTTCCTCTATTTGATTTTTTTCTTGGGTTTTATTAGCCCATGAAAACATTTGAACTGAAGTGGGCTATTCGAAAAAATACAATAAACAGGAAATGTTGTTTTATTATAGTGTGTGTGTGTGTGTGTGTGTGTGTGTGTGTGTGTGTGTGTGTGAGAGTGTGTGTGTATATATATATATATAGTGTATATACACCGTATTTTCCGCACGAAAAGACGCACTGGATTATGAGGCGCACCTTCAATGAATGGCTATTTTGTAA